ATGCCCGGATCGGGCTGGAAACACCGGTAACAGTCACCCTCATCACTAATAGACACAGCATACATGGCAGAGAGAATAGCATCAAAGTCCAGATCAAAGATGGCAACCCCCGCCCTAGACAGCTCGTCCCAGCGAGGGATCTCGGAGGCCTCCGGGAACTGGTGACGCCATGCGTCCGTCAGGCGGCCAAAGCAGCGCGGAGTGGGGTGCGCACCCCCACACTGCTCACCCGCACGGTCGCCGGTGCGCAGGACGTAGGTACACGGACCAAAACCCCCACCCCGCTGGCGTGCAGTGTACCACTCACGGAGCTGCTGAGGGGACAGGGTCGCACGACCACGCTGCTGCTGCTGGCGCGAGCCACCACCGGAGCCACTCCTCTGCAAAGACCCGCGACCAGCTCCACCGCCACCCCCACCGCCTCCACCGCCTCCGCTGCCTCCACTGCCGCCGCCGCCTCCACCGCCTCCTCCACCGCCGCCTCCTCCGCCACCTCCGCTACCACCGCCACCGCCGCCGCGGCCTCCGCCTCCACTGCCGCCACCGAACCCCCCACCCCCACCTCCACCTCCACCGCTACCCCCACTCCCCCCACTGCCTCCACCTCCACCTCCACCGCCCGCTCCTCCAGCTCCCTTGCCCCCCTTGCCCTTGCCAGGGCGGCGTCTCCCGCTAGGGGCAGACGCCGCACCGACCGACTCAAGAACAAGGAGGTCGGCCGAAGCAGCAGAGGCAACAGAGGGCAGCAGGGGGGAGGGAGAACACCCCTCAAAGATGGGGGTGCGCGGGTCACCTCGAGAGGCTCCTACAGCGACTATGCTCTTTTCTATCGCGAGGAGGGCGTTCTCGAGGAGGTCTACAGTGAGTGTGGTGGGACAGACTGAGAGAAAGTGGTCCCTGACTACTCGAAGGGAGTCAGGGAGGCGAGTGACTAGGAAGTACAGAGTGATGTACATGGGGGGGGGGTTCGCGGTGCAGAAGTCAGCAGGAAGTGCAGCGCGGTAGCGAGTGTCACTAGTGCGGAGGTGCGTAATGAGGTCAGCAACGGTGGGAAAAGAAGCAAGGTCAGGGAAGAGGTACGGCAGCATGAGACGGCTCAGTGCAGCAGTGGAAGGGGAGGAGTAGCGCGCGACTACAGCGGCGTACAAGGTCTGAGCACTCTTGTACTGACTAAAGTGCGCACGCTCGGAGGTAGGGAGGTGGCGACGCACAGCAAGACGTGCAGCAGCATCGCGCGTGGCCCACTGGGAGCGAACAGTGGCGTCAGCATCAGCAGCAGGGGCAGGGGAAGCGCCAGAGGTGAGGTCAAAGAGAGAGAGGCCGTCCGCCCTATCGCACTGTAAGAACAGCTGTAGGTCATCTACCCAGACCTCAAAGTCAATGGCCCGACCCTCAGCGTCAAAAGTGAGGACACTAGGGGTAGCCATGACAGCAGTAGACCAGCAGTGCAAGGAGTAGGGGAAGAGCACGCAGTGACAGAGGGTCTGTGCTCACCGGACAGGGCTGCTCGGGCGGCGCGGCTGCAGGGCGGCTCGGCCGCTGGGCGGCTCGGCGGCTGGGCGGCTCGGCGGCTGGGCGGTCGGCTGCACGGCTGCAGCGCGGCTCGGCGGCGGGGCGGCTCGGCTGCTCTGCTGCTGGGCGGCTCGGCTGCGCTGCTGTTGGGCGGCTCGGCTGGGCCGCTGACGTAGGGCGGCGGGGCCGCTGTAGAGGAGTGGCGGGGCCGCTCCAGAAGGACGGCGGGGCCGCTGGGTAGTGAGGCGGCGGGGCCGCGAGGACGGGCGGCGGGGCCGCTGCAGAGAAGCGGTGGGGCCGCAGTGAAGGGCGGCGGGGCCGCAACGAGAGAGGCGGCGGGGCCGCAGCGAGAGAAGCGGCGGGGCCGCGAAGTCGGGCGGCGGGGCCGCTGAGTAGGGCGGCGGGGCCGCAGTGAGAGGCGGCGGGGCCGCAGCGAGAGAGGCGGCGGGGCCGCGAAGACGGGCGGCGGGGCCGCTGAGACGGGTGGCGGGGCCGCAGTGAGTGGCGGCGGGGCCGCAGCGAGAGATGGCGGCGGAGCCGCGAAGACGAGCGGCGGGGCCGCAACGAGAGAGGCGGCGGGGCCGCAGAAAAGGGCGGCGACGGGCCGTAGGCGGCGCGAAGCCGCAGGTAAGGGCGGCGACGGGCCGGGGCGGCTCGAAGCCGCAGGTAGAGGCGGCGCGAAGCCGCGGGAAGGGCGGCGACGGGCCTGGGCGGCGCGAAGCCGCAGGAAGGGGCGGCGCGAAGCCGCCGGTGAGGGCGGCGCAAAGCCGCGGGTAAGGGCGGCGACGGGCCGGGAAAAGGGCGGCACGCCGCAGCCGCTAGGGCGGCTCGACGCGACCGTAAGGGCGGCGCGACGGGCCGCTAGGTGCGACTCGACGGGCCGCTAAAAAAAAACAGGCAGGCGCGACTCGAGGCGCGCTTCGGTGGGCCCAAGGAACAGTCCCTAGGAGGGGACCTGCTCTGATTCCATGTGAGAATGAGAACGAGAATGGGTGAACTATGAAATGATGTGAGTACAAATATGAAACCCTAATTGGTTGTACCCCCTATGGGATACCCCACTATAGCCTATACAACAGCATAAGCTACAATGTTCTGACAATTGGTACTACTGTTAGCACTGCTTGGTTTAACAAACACGGGAGCTGCAATTGGGAGGTTCGGGCTTGGCATGAGCCGGGTTCGGCCCGAACCACCCGCTGCCGAACCTCCCCCACCCCCACCTTCCCCCTTTATAAGCACTTTTATCCCTGAAACCACTTCCCGCTTCATTGTTGGGATCTGGCCCCTCTCTCCTTGCTCCTTGTCTCCTTGGCCCCCCATCAGGAAGATACTGCCTACACCAGTTCTACCTCCCCCTCGCCTCCCACTCGCCCCCCCACTTGCAGCCTTTGTCTGCTTCTCAGAACCTTCCTGCCCTGGTTTGGCTCCCTCAGACCCTGCCACGACAGCTCCACCCCCTGCCACGTCAGCTCCAGGGCTATCCGCCACGAGAACCCGTCGACCAATCAGATCGAGCGGAGGAAAACTGGATTCTAGCGAAGCTCGTAGAAAACTGGATTCTAGTGAAGCTCGTAGAAATGGCTATGTCACAGCAACGAAGTAGAAGCACAGTGTTGGTCGCGAAACGCCTCACGGGAGGCTTACGCGGCCTTAACGGGGCCTCGACGAGGCCTTTACTCAACCCTGACGCGATCCTGAGGCGATTTCTGCTTCGCGTGGTCTTCACTGATCCTTCACGGGGCTTTCGCGGGCCCTACACTCGAGTGAAACAGGTTCGGCCCTTCGCAGGGCTTTGACGGGAGTCTCGCGGCTGAAATTTCCGTCACTAATGCTTGTCTAAGCCTTCACAAAGGCTTCTCCGTAGGTTTGACGCGAATCTGACGGGAGTCTCATCAAATGCTCAAAGTTTCGACCAATCAGGATTGAACACAATGTTTGAAGCGATAGAATTTCAAAGTGTTACTTCAACAACCTGGTACAACAAATATATAGGTTCAAGCAAGGTACAAAATGGGCTAGGTAACAAAACGTGTCCAACACGTTACGTGGCGCCTCGTTTCACCCCGCGTCGCACACGCAACCTTTCTCCACCTTCGTCGAACGCGCCTGAAGTCCGCATTTGGTTCCTTGCTGAACACGCCACAGTTGACCCACACAATTTCCCCCCGTCGATCACTTTCTCCTCACTTCCTCCTCGTCAATGTCTTCCTTCCATACTTCTCTTGCCGTAGCTCATACTCCCAAGCAATGTCGTAGTTTCCTCTCTAGTTCCCAAGGCACTGTCAACACGCCACCGTCAGTCCGTCTTAGTCGTCGGTCCGAATAATGAGCGCCGTCGTTAGTGTGGTTCTGCGAACCACTCCAACACACACGACTGCTCGTCCCATTTATTAGTCGGTCAGATTTGAATCAGCGTCCCGATATACCCTAACCAACCAGCCTAGGTATCAAATTGACCGTTGTAGAACCAGCTGAACCGACAATTGTCCAAGCTTTAGGAGGAATCTGGTAACCGGTTGTACCCGATACGGGCAGATGCACTTCAGCTACAGGAGGTACCGTGAACTTCTACTCTGATACAAACATAAGCCACAATTTCGTTACAATACAAAGAGTACAGGAATAACAAACAAGGGCACCAGCATGACTACATCCCTGAATCAGTCATCACCATCCGTCCCTAAACACAATTGTCCAAACCTTAATAACCAACCCATATCCGAGGTACACAAAAGACAATCCCGTTCCTCCAGAGGAAACTTACCAGTACCTTTTCATCCGCAGCATTGCACCACAAAGCAGAAAAAATACACCACCACCACCACCCGCTGTATCAGCACAACGCACATGCCCTTTTCCAGTCTCCCAGATATCATCACGCTGTCTTTTTTTCATTTGTTGCCCTTGGTTGTTCCTGAGTGAGGAATCCTCTTCACGCATCATCAGTACCACACCACACCACACCATATCTAGAACGCAACGCGAAAAGCCGTCGGTGTCACTATTTCGCTCGCACGTGGATTTTGGACTCGACAAAACAACAGCTTGAAAAGCTTTCAACTGATGATGGAAGTGATGATGGAATCACTCGCACGCCACTTTGGTATCGAAACTGCTCAGGCAAATGGCAAACGCCTGCACGCATAATGTAGGGAAAACACACATGACGTGGGAACACATACAAAGCAGAAAACAATCCGTCAGACATGTGATATGAAGCAAGGAAAGCACATGTGACATGTGACATGTGGGCACGCACAAAGAAAACAGCCCAGAAGGCAAGGGGAAGAGAACACGGGGAGACGGGAGATGGGGAAAGCGTATTGACAAGATACCCAAAGACAAACCTGAGGAAACACCTGGCCGTCCACACTTACCTGGAAGGCCGTGAGTGGATATCTGTAGTCCATGGTGAATGTGTCCTTGCCACTCTTCCCAACTGCAGCAACACCGGCTTGCATGCGTATCAATACCTGAAAGGAAACTCACCCTGAACACGCAGCACTACCCACCTGGAAGGCCGTGAGCGGGTATCCGTAGTCCATGGCGAATGTGTCATTGCCGATCTTGCCAAACTGCAGCAGCAGCACTGGCAGAGCACCGATTTTTAACCACATGAAACAGCACTTCACTACCCACCTGGAGTCAGTAAGCGGGTATCTGTTATCCATGGTGAAAGTGTCCTTGCCAATCTTCCCACACTGCAGCAGCACTGGCTTATCAGAGTCGTTCCCCGGTCCGCTCCTCTCTATGAGCTACCCTCAGCCACACAGAGCAGCACGCACTTGGCACATGCACTACGCACCTGGAAGGCCGTAAGCGGGTATCTGTAGTCCATGGTAAAGGTGTCCTTTCCGATCTTGCCAAACTGCAGCAGCAGCACCGGCAGGGCTCCGAACCATACACACTAGCATTCAAAGAAGAAGCACCCACCTGGAAGGCAGTAAGCGGGTATCTGTAGTCCATGGTGAACGTGTCCTTGCCAATCTTCCCAAACTGCAGCAACACCTTCAGGGCACCGCACCATACACACCAGCACTTGTGCTAGAATAACACACCTGGAAGGCCGTGAGTGGATATCTGTAGTCCATAGTAAAAGCGTCCTTGTCAATCTTCCCGAACTGCAGCAGCACCGGCTTGTCCGAGTCGTTCCCCGGCCCGCCCCCCTCTATCAGCTGAAAATTCTTCACTGATGCTACTGTCACGCGGCCACGGAAGTTGAGGCACCAACACTGCAAGGGAGTACGGGAAAGGGGAGGCGGGTAGGGGGTGGGAAAGGGGGGAGCAGCACCGGCTTGTCAGAGTCGTTCCCCGGCCCGCCCCCCTCGATCAGCTGGAAGTTCTTCACTGAAGCCACTGTCACTCGCCCCCTGAAGTTCAAGCACCAGCACTGGCAGTGTGGGAGGGGGAGGGCAGGCAAGGGGAGGCAAGGGCGGGATGAGAAGGGGGCTTGTCCGAGTCGTTCCCCGCCCCCCCCCCCCCCTCTATCAGCTGGAAATTCTTCACAGAAGCACCCCCTGTCACTCGCCCCCTGAAGTTGAGGCACCAGCACTGGAAGCGTGTATGGGATGGACAGGAAAAGGGGATGCAAGGGAGGATTGGAAGGGCCTTATTTGAGATGCTCCCCGGCCCGCCCTCCTCTATCAGCTGGAATTTGTTCACCGAAGCAACCGTTACTCGCCCTCTGAAGTTGAGGCACCAGCACTGGAAGGCGAGGAGGGGAGGCGAGGGGAGGGGAGGGAGCGCTCGGCCCAATGTTTCATGATAGATTTCGCTTTCTAATCTGTAATTGCCTTCCTCAATACACACACACCTGCAGCTGCGCGTGCCACCGGGGAGGCTTGTTCCTCGATACCACAGTCTCTAGGGGCGCTCGGCCCATGATAAAAAGCTTTATATTGCCCTATACTCCCATATACTCCCTTATACTCCTTTGCACTCCTCCATATCCCCTTGTATCCCCTCACCTGCAGCTGCTCGTGCCATCTGCGAGACTTGTTCCGCAACGCCATGGGCTCCAGAGGCGCTCGGCCTCATACTCCCTTGAACTACCCTGTACTCCCGTGCACCGCTTCCCACCCCCCAGCACCCACACACATACCTGCAGCTGCTCGTGCCATCTGGGAGGCTTGTTCCGCAACACCATGGGCTCTAAGGGCGCTCGGCTTCATCTATTTCCATACGAACACCGCTTAATACTCCCCTGTACTGCTGTGCACCGCTCCTCATTCCCCAATAAACACACATACCTGCAGCTGCTCGTGCCATCTGGGTGGCTTGTTCCGCAACACCATGGGCTCTAGAGGCGCTCGGCCGATGCACCGCACACAGTCACACTCCGTACAGTCACCCTCAGTGTCACCCTCCGCATCTGCCTCTGCATTGAAAGCAGGAGGCGCAGCAGCAGGGGAAGGAGCAGCAGAAGCAGAAGGAGCAGCAGGAAGGGCGGCAGGAGACGGGGCAGACGAAGCAGCAAATGGGGGAGTCGCAGCTGCAGCAGGGAGAGAGGAAGGGGTGAATGGGGGAGTCAAGGGACCCGAGGGGAGAGAGGAGGAGGCGAACGGGGGAGTGACAGCCGCCGCAGCTCTGGCACCTGCTGCTGCTGCTTCTGGTGAAGCCACAGCTCTTGCTGCTGCTGCTTCTGGTGAAGCCACAGCTCTTGCTGCTGCTGCTTCTGACCATGCCGTTCCGCTTGCTGTTGCTGCTGATGCTGCTGCTGCTGCTGCTGCTGTTAGTGCCGCTTCTAGTTCCAATGTGGGCAAGGGCAGGGGCAGGGGCAGGGGCAGGGGCAGGGGCAGGGGCAGGGGCAGGGGCAAGGGCAGGGCGGCAGGGGGAAGCTCAAGGGCAGCAGGGGGAAGGAAGGGGTCCGCGGAGGCGGGGAAGGGGGAGATATGAAGGCCTTCGCTGCCGCTGCTTTCCTGGAAACCTCCGCCTTGCGTGATTTGAGTTGACTCAAAAGCCACCTGGAAACCTCTGCCTTGCAACCAACCCTGATTGCCCTCCTGCTCACTCCTTCCCTCTCCACTGCTCTCCTGCTGCTCACACGCGCCGTCTGTCGGCCAATCCCCACACTCCTCCTGCTGATTCCCCTCCTCTAAACTCCCATCCTCCGGACTGCTCTCCTCTTGACTCTTCTTCTCCCACTGCCCCCCTGCTTCCACACCCTCCTCTCGCATGCTCTGCTGCTCATTGCTCTCCTCCTTACCACTGCTCCCCATTCTCTCTCCCGCACCCATCTCTTCCCCACTCTCTGGGAACGAGACCAAGGGCTCTCTTGTGCAGATTGTGGGTGGTGACCTTGCTTCCCTCGCTTCCCTTGCTTCCTCCGCTGCTGTGCATTCTTGCTTCTCGCCCTCCCCCTCCTCTTCTCCACTCCCAGTGAGCCTCACCAGCAATCTCTCCTCCTCCTCCCTCTCCTCCTTCTCTTGCCTCTCCTCGGTCTCGTTCTTCCTCCTCTCCTCTCCCGTCCCCTCCTCCCTCTCTACCTCCCCTCTCTCCACTCTCTTCCCCTCCCCTCTCTCTCCCTTCCCCTCTTCCTCCCGCCCTCCCACTCTCCCTTCAGTCACTTCTTCTACAGTCACCTCCTCTCTCTCCCCCCCTCCCCACTCAAACTCACTCACAATCCCCCCCGCCTCCCCCTTCCCCCCACTGAGCCTGTATGCGCAAGAACGGGCGGCGGGAGAGGCGGAAGACAGCGCGGAAGAGGGAAGCTTCGAGCAAGGGGGGAAGGCGGAAGCGGGGCAGGGGGGAGCGGCTGAGGCGGAAGCGGAAGGGGAGGGAGAAGCGGAGGAGCCTGTGGGGGCAATTAGCACGTCAGGGGGGGAAGCGGGGGAGTGGAGGGCGGAAGGGGCGGGGAAGTGGGGCGGGGCGGAGGTTGCGCCAGCAGGGTGGGCGGCGGAGGGGGAAGAAGCGGGGGATGAGGGCCAGGAGGGGCGGGGAAGCGGGGAAGGGGTGAAAGAGGAGGTACACGTGGGAGGCTGGGATTGGCCAGGTGCTTGCTCATCCGATTTTTGTTCCTCTGGGAGATCGCACGAGTGGTTACTGTAGCGAGTGTGACTATAGCGGTTGGAATGGAAGAGGGAGGAGAGGAGCGGGGAGGTGGCGGCAGCAGCGGCAGCACCAGCGGCTAGGACGGCAGCAGTTGCGGGGGAAGGGGTAGCAGGGGGAGGGGTGCTAGGGGGAACTGTAACGGGAGGAGTTGAAACGGAGCTTCTATCAGAGGTTGTAACGGGAGGAAGGGTGGCAGGACGCGGGCTTCGTAACGTGCCTATATCGGACGTGCCTATAACGGGATCTAAGCCTAAAGCAGCGGCGGCGGTGCCAGCAACATCAGCTGCCGCAGCAGCTGCCCGCCTGGCCCCCTCCGCCGCTGCCTCCCCCGCTGCCTCCGCTACCGCGGAAGCGTCCCCCCATCCCCGCCCACTCCCCCCACTTGCCCCCCTTGCCAACGACCTCCCCTCCCCCCTTCCCCCCCCCGCTTCCTCCCCCGTTCCTCTCCCCGCCTTCCCTCCCGCGCCTCGCCCCGCGCCTGCCGCCCCGCTTCCCCCTCCGCCAGTGACCGCCGCGCCCGCGGGGACCTGGTGAAGAGTGCAGAGAATGCGCCTAGGTCCGCGCACCCCCAGCACGTTCAGCGCATATGCTACAGACACCACCGGCCCGCTACTCCCCCCGCTTCCCCCGCTCCCCCCGCCGCTTCCCCCGCCAATCCCCCCGCTGCTTCTCCCACCTGCGCCTCCCCCGCAGCTGTGCGCGCTGCTTCCGGGGAAGGGGCTGCCGATGCAGCTGGGTTTGAATTGGGGGGAGGCAAAGTCGGAGACGGCGGGGCAAGGGGAAGGCGCAGCGGAAGGGGGCGCGGAGGCGGAAGGGAGGCGCGGGGAGCGGAAGCCCTCGAGGTTGTTGGCGGAGCGGGAGAGGCAGGCGGTTAGCGCGCGGGCGGAGGCGGAGGGGGAAGGGGCGGGGGAGGGGGAAGCTGAGAGGGACGGGGAATGTGCGCGGAGGCTTGACGATACCGCTGCTGACGTGGCCGTGTCAGCGTCATTTGCGCCGTTACAATCGCCCCGACCGCCAATGCCGCTGCCGCTGCCACTGCTGCTGGTAATACCTGCGCCCAGTAATCCTGTCCCGTCACTACCCCTGCTACAGCTGGTGCCGCTACAGCTGGAACCGTTAAAGCTGCCCAAGTTACCGTTACACGCGACAGGGGTGCCGGTCCCGCTGCTGCCCGCGCTGCTGCTGCCACAGTTGTAACCACAATGGTGGTTACCACACCGATTGCTACAGTGGTTACAGTGGTGGTAACCGTTGGCGGAAAAAGCGGCTCCGCGGGGATGCACCTTGCGGCTGCTGCTGCTGCTGCTTCCGCCGTGCGCCAGCGACGCCGCGCCGAGAGAAAACGCGGGCTGCACGAGGAAATGCGGCGCGGGGGGGACGGGAGGGCGGAGGGGGGGGGGGGGGGGGGGTGAGGGTGAGGAGGGGAGGGAGAGGAATGGGGGGGCAGGCGAAACGGTAAAATTGGCGCAAATTAACGGACGCCGAGAGGAGCTTCGACAGTTTTGGGCTTGGAAGATAAATACTGCGTTACTGGGTGCAATTTTTCTCGCCTCTGGCATTCGCGACAGCTTTCTTACACCCTGGGTGTCGAGCGCTATGGTAGCTGCGGCAAATCCGTCAAGACAATATACACTACGAAAGAAGAACTCCAATACTGTAGCAAATACGGGTGCGGGTTGAAGAGCCGTAAGCTTCTTCTAGAAGTCTTCACATCCAAGTTACCCCTAACTACTCAAACTCTAAAACACCTCGGTTGAAGGAGTGTAACCTTCTTAATATTGTGTGAAAAAAGTCTATTCTAAGACGACTCAAAAGTCGGTTGTAGAACTGTAACCTTCCTAACATTGTGCGATGCGAACGAACTCAGGTTTCATCGCTCACCTCGTGCGACGATTCAAAGACGGCAAATCGCGTGCTTAGGAAATTCGCTCGCAGGCGACCGACGAACGAACTTCCGCCGCGCGAAAAGTCTTTCGGATCCAGCGAGACCACGTACTCCATGCTGGAATGATTTCGAAAGTTGCGAAACAGAGCGAAACGGACACAATAGGGTGACCAGCACAAACACTTTTTCCATGCAAACGTGAATTTGCGAGACACAAACTCAGGTGTGCGATTTGAAGCGAACGAAGGCATTAGCGTAACCAGCACAAACAAGGGTTTGTTAAACGGGCAGAATAGGGCTACAAGCACAAACACCAACTCCGGTTTAGGGTCAAACGATTTTTTAAAGCAGTCGGCTATCCGCTTACCTTGACGGCCGCCAGCCGCACTTGCGCGCCGCGAGCAGGAACTTGCCGTTTTCCGTCGAATTCGGCGGCACGCCCAGAAACAGCGTGAACGTGCCGGTCTTGCGCGAGCGGCGAATGAAGCACTCCACGCAGCGGTCGCGCGGCCCGGGCGTTCTTAACTCGTCGGGAAAGGTTATTTGCCCAGACGACTCGTACGAGCCCTGGGATTGCAGCAGCTCGCTGTCTCGGGCAGAAATGGGCGGAAGGTGGGATCGGGGGAAGGGCGGGATGCGCGGAAGGGGAGGAAGGGGGGAAGTGGGGAAGCGGGAGAGAGGGGATGGGAGAAAGTGGGGATGGTGGATGCGCGAACGTGCCGGCCCCGGCAGGGGCTTCCTCAGCTCGTCGGAGTTCGTTATTTGCCCTGACGGCTCGTATGACCCCTGGGATTGCCGCAGCTCCCTGCGCGTGGGGGGGGGTTGCGGATGGGGCGGAGGGGAGTTTGGGGACGGGGAAACGAGGGGAACAGACGGAGCGGGGCGAGAGAGGAGAGCAGAGAGGGGAGGTGCGTAGAAAACAAAGCGTACAGTGGTAGTTCACGGGTAATCTCGAGAGCGCACGGCTAATCTCGAGAGCGCACGGCTAATCTCGAGAGCGCACGGCTAATCTCGAGAGCGCCCGCCTTACGTGAAATCTAATGATTTCTTGCCGCATCGTCGAGACGCTTCTGATAAAAGCAAAGCGTACAGTGTCAGCTCCCGCCGACCGTGGCTAGCTTTCGTTGATTTTGAAAAATTTTAAGACACCAACGCATGTGGTACCAAGGCATTACAAGGTATCACGTAGCGAGTCGCTACAAGGTGGTACGTACCGAGTAAGCTCCCGCCAAGAGCGGCAGACACCCGCGCACGCAACGACGCTGCGCCGGCCGGGCCACGAGCTGTCGCTCGCCTCCACGCGTGCGATCACGTCGCGCAGCAGCTCGGGCGGCAGCGACGCCCACGTGCACTCGCCGGCGTCGTCGCCCGCATCGTACACGTCGCACGCCGCCTCGCTCGTACTGAAAATCGTTGCCTTGGGGCTCATGCGAACGCCGAGCCCGCACATCGCGCCGGTCGTCGTGCGAGGACCCATCGCCACGCGACGGCGAATCAGATATGGTTCAGATTTAATAGATCGGATGAATTCGCAATCTAAAGCGCTCTGGCAGTTGCTATCGGCAATGAGTTATCCGAGGAAGAGAACGGACACGGACCGTTTGAGAGGCGTAAATGCTATGATGGTCAGGCCGTCTTGATTCTCGTTCCAAACCGATAGCGATCTTTATCAACAATTATGCTGTCGCGTATTTTCTCAACAGTTGTGCTGTCAAGGAATTTCCACTCGCATATTCTGGCAACTGGTGCTGGTAGCAGCACCAACGAGCGACGGATACTTCATCTCTACGAGAAAAAAACGCAACAACAATGACCGTAATATAAAATTTCGGATTTCATAAACGTGTGTTCTTGCAGTGTCCGACGCAGCGTGACCCTTTTAGGGTTCCTTCCTCATACAGATACTTGAACCAACATGTCAGAGAGTGTTGTGAGATGGAGCTTTCAGGATGTGATGAGATGGGACTCCACGCGGTGGCTGGCAAGAGTCGGAGGTTGGGAGAACGGACCATGAATGGGTGCGTGTGCAGTTTCAAGCATAGCATCTGGGAGAGCGGGAAAAGAGAGCCTTGAAAGGGGAGGGAGGGGGGGGAGGGGTGGGAAGAACGATGGAATCCAAGAGTTATAGTTTCTGTTGCTCCTGCCCTAAAAATTGCTCTGGGAATTCTTATCCAGTCTGGTTTCAAGTGTTCTGAATCCAGTGTTGTGTTAGTCCCGAGACAGTCCTGGAGGGAAGTGTGGTGTGGAGTGGATACTGTAGGAAGAGACGAGACGAGACGAGAGGAGAGGAGAGGAGAGACGTGTAAGATTGGGGAACTAGGGCTGGCTGGAAGGAGGGAAGACAAGGGCGGCGGCGGCGCGTCCTTTGCTGCATTGTCAGGGCATGTCGTCGTGACATGGTTCATGGTTTGGTTGGTCATCAGGGTTCTGAAACATGGATTCTTTGAAACAGGATTTGTTCTGTCAGTGATTGGGGCATCAAAATCTGACGGCACGCGACCGGGCAGCCCGCCATACAAAGCACCAGGAAAGAGAAGTGGAGGTGGTGGGGAAAAGGGGAAATGTGCAGGGCGATTGTGTCGTTGCGGATAGTGTCATTTGTAAGGGGTGCGCTGAGAGAAGTTGGGAACGGGGGAACCTGACAAAGGTGGGAGTTTAGGCAGGCAAAAAGCAGGCTTCCATTGAGGCTTGCCAGAAGGAGGTGGAAAAGTAGGGGCGGTAGTGTTGGGATTTCATGACAAAGCTGCCAATATATTGGTGTCTCGTAATCGTAAGTTGCCTGCCCGAGAACGCGCTTTGAAAAGAGGTTTCAGGTGCGCGACAGTTTTGGAACGTGTGACGACAAATTCCGAGAAAGCAGCGAGGTGCAGCGCATCCACCACAGAGGTGCGACCGACCCAGGCGACTTTACCCAACGCAAACAAATCATCTTGCGACGCTTTCTTTCGGAATCCTGCCTGCATATCTGTGGGCGACATTTACAGGCGACGACGAGTGCGTGACTGCTGTTTTTCATCACTTCCGTTCGCCTCCCCAACGAGTTGGCGGCGACAGTCTGAAATCGAGGAGGCGGGAGATGGCGTGAATGGATGAGGAATCTGGCACACGCTGAAATGGTGATATGTGGTCAGCAGCAGCGGGCGATAGCGTAAAGCGAAATGATTGGCTGCAGGCTGCCCGAAGCAAGGGTCACGTCACACAGCCAGCATCTTACGAGCTGATTGGCTGCTTGCCTGCCGACACAACAGTCACATCGCACTTGCGACCCGGTCCGAGCCATTCCATTGGTGCAGGCTACGTGCGATGGCAGCGGCGACCAGCCTCAGCGATAAGAAAAGCCAACCTATCTGCCCCACATTCTTTAGGAATCATACGATTGGTTCCGGTACTCTCGCCACAAATTTGATGTATTATATATTAGCAATATTCATCCTGTGAACATCAATGAGATGCATAACACCGAAGGGCTATTTTCCAAGAGTAGAAATCTGACCTATGTCAAATCACCTCTGGTACAATATCACTACAAGGATCCCAGCACTTTTAATGTCTACCTAGGGCTCCTTTTTGTGTGGTGGTAGCTTGCGATGGGCACGAGAGGCAAAGGCAAGAGGTTCCACTTGGATCAGCTCGCCATAAGCCAAACTCTTTAAAACGTTGAATCTTGGCCTGCAAAATTCCACAAGAAGTGCAGCAAGGATACAAGTGCTGGTAAATAAATAAATTTGCCCATGATGGAGCAGCCAAGTCTGCATGTTTGCAAAAAGTCATCCAAACTTCCAAACTGGCACACAATAACCCACGTTCGCTCTTAACTCACCGGACACATACAGTGCCAGCCACGCTCGCATGCGCCACAGTCACATGCCCCACAGTCACATGCCCCACAGTCACATGCCCCACAGTCACACGCACCTTCTTCCCCTTGATGTAGTTGTTGTGGATCACCACAGGCGCCACCTCTGCTTGCTGCGGAGCGCGCTGCACAAAAAACTCCTTCCCGTTGGGAAACTTTAGCACGTCCAGCCCTCGCACCTGCACCTTGTTCCTCCGCTTCCCCAGCAGCTGGTTCAAATACCGCTGCTCGTGCAGATGCTCGAATTGCTGAGGTGGGAGAGGGAGGGGAGTGGAGGGCAGGAGCACACTGAGCATGTCAGCCACTGGCACCTGCACCTTGCTCCTCCGCTTTCTGATGCTGTAGGGTTTACTTTTGAGTCGACTCAAAAGAATTCTAAAAAAAACCCTACAGCAGGGGAGTGGAGGGCAGAAGCACACTGAGCATGTCAGCCACTGGCACCTGCACCTTGCTCCTCCGCTTTCTGAGACGTCTCAAAATCTGCACCTTTAACCGCCGCTTTCACAGCAGCAGACACTGAGACGTCTCAAAATCTGCACCTTTAACCGCCGCTTTCACAGCAGCTGATTCACATACCGCTGCTCGTGCAGAGCAGATGACTTTTGAGTCGACTCAAAAGTCTGCTCATGCAGAGCAGATGCTCCAATCGCTGAGGGGTTGGGTTGGGGAGCAAGGACTGGGAAACGGGGGATGCATTGTTGAGGTGCCGTTGGGGATCTTGAGTTGAGCGCGTCCAGTCCCACTGGCCCACAGCCTGTGGTGCCTCCCAGCCCCACAGCCCCACTGGTTGCCGCTGGGGATCTTGAGTTGAGCGCGTCCAGTCCCACTGGCCCACAGCCTGTGGTGCCTCCCAGCCCCACAGCCCCACTGGTTGCCGCTGGGGATCTTGAGTTGAGCGCGTCCAGTCCCACTGGCCCACAGCCTGTGGTGCCTCCCAGCCCCACAGCCCCACTGGTTGCCGCTGGGGATCTTGAGTTGAGCGCGTCCAGTCCCACTGGCCCACAGCCTGTGGTGCCTCCCAGCCCCACAGCCCCACTGGTTGCCGCTGGGGATCTTGAGTTGAGCGCGTCCAGTCCCACTGGCCCACAGCCTGTGGTGCCTCCCAGCCCCACAGCCCCACTGGTTGCCGCTGGGGATCTTGAGTTGAGCGCGTCCAGTCCCACTGGCCCACAGCCTGTGGTGCCTCCCAGCCCCACAGCCCCACTGGTTGCCGCTGGGGATCTTGAGTTGAGCGCGTCCAGTCCCACTGGCCCACAGCCTGTGGTGCCTCCCAGCCCCACAGCCCCACTGGTTGCCGTTGGGGATCTTGAGCGCGCCCAGTCCTTGCACCTTGTTTTTGAGAATTCTCAAAAACCTGCACCTTGTTACGCCGCTTTCCCTTCAGCTGGTTCAGATGCCGCAGCTTGTGCAAATGCTCGAATTGCTGAGTGAAGGTGGGTGGGGGGAGGGCGGGGTGGTGGGGGCATGGGGGATGTGTTGTTGAGGTTCCTCTGAAATGTACAACAGGGACGCCAGCCCTCGCACCTGCACCTTGCTCCTCCGCTTCCCCAGCAGCTGGTTCAAATACCGCTGCTCGTGCAGGTGCTCAAATTGCTGAGCAGCGCAGGGGAAGGGGTGGGGAGGGAGAGAGGGAAATTGCTGATAACAGTAAAAAAAGGCAGAACCAGCTGGTTCAGATAACGCTGCTTGTGCAGATGCTCGAATTGCTGAGAGCGGGGAGGGAGGGAGTGAGGGAAGTGGTTGGTAGATGTGGGACGTGTATGGTGACCTAAAGAGACACCAGCTGGTTCGGATTCCGCTGCTCGTTCAGATGCTGGAATAGCTGAGGTAGGGGAAAGAGGGAGGGGGCGAGGGAGAGGGTTGGTAGATGTGGGACGTGTACGGTAACCCGTGTGTGATGAGGTAGACGTGGCTGGTGATGGTAATTAGGGAGTGAGGGAAGTGGTTGGTAGATGTGGGACGTGTATGGTGACCTAAAGAGACCTAAAGAGACACCAGCTGGTTCGGATACCGTTGCTCATGCCAGGTATGTAGGGTTACGATACGGTCGTTGTCACTCATGGTGGACTTTTGAGGCGCCTCAAAAGTCACCGCTGCTCATGCCAGGTATGTATGTAGGGTTGCGATCCCGGTCGTTGTAACCCATGGTGGAAGGGCAGCAGCAGTACTGTGGTGGTTACGACACGGTTATCACAGGGTTACCATGTGGTTACCATGCACGCAGTACAACTCACTGTGAGCCACGCCCCCATCTGTACAGGCATGCGGTTGAACGCGCACGTGTAGAGACCGATCACAACATGTATGGTTACCATCAGGTTACCACACGCACAGTTACAACGCTCCTTGAGCCACGCCCCCATTCCCTCGGGCTTCTTGTAGAGTGCCTCCTTGGCCATGCGGTTAGCAGAGTAGGTAGGGTTACCACATGGTTACCACAGTAATTAGAGCTACCATACAGTTACCACACGGTTACATCTCACCTTCAGCCACGCGCCCATCTCCTCTGGCTTCTTGTAGAGTGCCTCTTTAGCCATGCGGTTGAACGTGCGCGTGTACAGACCTGTAACCTGGTCCCATAGGGTTACCACACGCGGCGTGGACCGCAGGAAGAGGAACCCCCCGCACAGCTGACCAGAAGGCTCAAGCTGTGAGGTGGTGGGGTTGGGGGGAGGGAGAGGGGAGGCAGGAATGAGTGTGTGACACCCATAGGGTTACCACACGGGGCGTGGAGTGCAGGAAGAGGAACCCCCCGCACAGCTGACCTGAAGGCTCGAGCTGAGAGGCGGTGGGGGTGGGGACACAGGCAGGACAGGTGGGGGTGTAAGGGGGGGGGGAAACAGGTCGGCTCTGTGGCTTCCCCTGATCGTTTCATAGGGTTACACACGCGGCGTGGAGCGCAGGAAGAGGAAACCCTCACACAGCTGACCTGAAGGCTCGAGCTGCAAGGTAGATGTGATGGAAGGGTGGGAAGAGCAAAGAAGTGAGAGAGGGTAGATAGGTAAGGCAGGTTGGTCCATAGGGTTACCACATGGGGCGTGGAGTGCAGAAAGAGGAAGTCCCCGCACGGCTGACCTGAGGGCTCCAGCTGAGAGGTGGTGGGGGTGGGGGGCACAAATAGGGGAAGAGAATAGACAGGAAAAGGAAGGAAGGTTGGTCTGATGAGGTTACCATAGGGTTACCACACAAGGCGTGGAGTGCAGGAAAAGGAAGCCTCCGCACAGCTGACCGGAGGGTCCCAGGTGCGAGGGGGTGGATGCTGCCCTGCCCACTCGATTACCACTCGGTGGTAGCCGGTTTCGCCATGTGCACGAATGGATGGGAGAGCCACAGGGCGATTCTTGAGACGTCTCAAAACATGGGTGCTGCGAGGGGATGGATGCTGCCCTGCCATTACCGCTCAGTGGTAACCGGTTTCGCCATGTGCACCAAGGGATCGGAGCGGAGATCCACACGGCATCCTGTTTTGAGGCGCCTCAAAACCCACTCCATTACCGCTCAGTGGTAACCGGTTTCGCCATGTGCACCAAGGGATCGGAGTGGAGATCCACACGGCATCCTGTTTTGAGGCGCCTCAAAACCCACTCCATTACCGCTCAGTGGTAACCGGTTTCGCCATGTGCACCAAGGGATCAGAGCGGAGATCCACACGGCATCCTGTTTTGAGGCGCCTCAAAACCCACTCCATTACCGCTCAGTGGTAACCGGTTTCGCCATGTGCACCAAGGGATCGGAGCGGAGATCCACACGGCATCCTGTTTTGAGGCGCCTCAAAACCCACTCCATTACCGCTCAGTGGTAACCGGTTTCGCCATGTGCACCAAGGGATCGGAGCGGAGATCCACACGGCATCCTGTTTTGAGGCGCCTCAAAACCCACTCCATTACCGCTCAGTGGTAACCGGTTTCGCCATGTGCACCAAGGGATCGGAGCGGAGATCCACACGGCATCCTGTTTTGAGGCGCCTCAAAACCCACTCCATTACCGCTCAGTGGTAACCGGTTTCGCCATGTGCACCAAGGGATCGGAGCGGAGATCCACACGGCATCCTGTTTTGAGGCGCCTCAAAACCCACTCCATTACCGCTCAGTGGTAACCGGTTTCGCCATGTGCACCAAGGGATCGGAGCGGAGATCCACACGGCATCCTGTTTTGAGGCGCCTCAAAACCCACTCCATTACCGCTCAGTGGTAACCGGTTTCGCCATGTGCACCAAGGGATCGGAGCGGAGATCCACACGGCATCCTGTTTTGAGGCGCCTCAAAACCCACTCCATTACCGCTCAGTGGTAACCGGTTTCGCCATGTGCACCAAGGGATCGGAGCGGAGATCCACACGGCATCCTGTTTTGAGGCGCCTCAAAACCCACTCCATTACCGCTCAGTGGTAACCGGTTTCGCCATGTGCACCAAGGGATCGGAGCGGAGATCCACACGGCATCCTGTTTTGAGGCGCCTCAAAACCCACTCCATTACCGCTCAGTGGTAACCGGTTTCGCCATGTGCACCAAGGGATCGGAGCGGAGATCCACACGGCATCCTGTTTTGAGGCGCCTCAAAACCCACTCCATTACCGCTCAGTGGTAACCGGTTTCGCCATGTGCACCAAGGGATCGGAGCGGAGATCCACACGGCATCCTGTTTTGAGGCGCCTCAAAACCCACTCCATTACCGCTCAGTGGTAACCGGTTTCGCCATGTGCACCAAGGGATCGGAGCGGAGATCCACACGGCATCCTGTTTTGAGGCGCCTCAAAACCCACTCCATTACCGCTCAGTGGTAACCGGTTTCGCCATGTGCACCAAGGGATCGGAGCGGAGATCCACACGGCATCCTGTTTTGAGGCGCCTCAAAACCCACTCCATTACCGCTCAGTGGTAACCGGTTTCGCCATGTGCACCAAGGGATCGGAGCGGAGATCCACACGGCATCCTGTTTTGAGGCGCCTCAAAACCCACTCCATTACCGCTCAGTGGTAACCGGTTTCGCCATGTGCACCAAGGGATCGGAGCGGAGATCCACACGGCATCCTGTTTTGAGGCGCCTCAAAACCCACTCCATTACCGCTCAGTGGTAACCGGTTTCGCCATGTGCACCAAGGGATCGGAGCGGAGATCCACACGGCATCCTGTTTTGAGGCGCCTCAAAACCCACTCCATTACCGCTCAGTGGTAACCGGTTTCGCCATGTGCACCAAGGGATCGGAGCGGAGATCCACACGGCATCCTGTTTTGAGGCGCCTCAAAACCCACTCCATTACCGCTCAGTGGTAACCGGTTTCGCCATGTGCGCCAAGGGATCGGAGAGCCACAGGGCGAGTTTTGAGACGTCGCAAAACATGGGTGCTGCGAGGGGATGGGTGCTGCCCACTCCATTACCGCTCAGTGGTAACCGGTTTCGCCATGTGCACCAAGGGATTGGAGAGGCACAGGGCGTCCACCCTTGACTGTGGCACAGGCACGCAACCACCCCCTTTTGAGTCGACTCAAAAGCAGCTGCGAGGGGATGGGTGCTGCCCCCATGTGCATAAAGGGATTTTTGAGGTGCCTCAAGAAGGGATTGGAGAGCCACAGGGCGTCCACCCTGGACAGTGGCACAGGCAAGTAACCACCCCCTTTCCCCCACTCCAAATTGCCTCATCTGCCCACTGCCTCACCTGCCCACCAAACCACCACTGCCCATTGCCCACCAACCCACCTGCCCGTAAATGCCATCTCAACTGCCCGTAAATGCCATCTCACCTGCCCGTAAATGTCCACAGATTTGTTGCCCATGTGGACGAACGGGTCGGACAGCCACACTGCGTCCACGTCAGCAAGCAACACGTTGTACCCCATCTTGAGAATCGAGCCGACCAATCGCGTGCGTTTGAGCAGCAGCTGTAGAGGTGGTGGAAAGGATGGGGAGGGGTGGAGAGGGATGGGGAGAGATGAAGGGGAGACACAGTGATGTTATTAGCAAGGGCACATTGTACCCCATCTTGAGGATCGAGCCGACCAAACGCGTGCGCTTGAGCAGCAGCTGCAGAGAGGTGGCGGGGTAAGGGAGGGGGAGGGTGGGGGGAGCGATGCTGGGAGATGAAGGGGAGTCGCAGTGATGTTCCATGCAAGCAACACATTGTACCCCATCTTGAGGATCGAGCCGACCAAACGCGTGCGCTTGAGCAGCAGCTGCAGAGAGGTGGCGGGGTAAGGGAGGGGGAGGGTGGGGGGAGCGATGCTGGGAGATGAAGGGGAGTCGCAGTGATGTTCCATGCAAGAAACACATTGTACCCCATCTTGAGGATCGAGCCGACCAAACGCGTGCGCTTGAGCAGCAGCTGCAGAGAGGTGGCGGGGTAAGGGAGGGGGAGGGTGGGGGGAGCGATGCTGGGAGATGAAGGGGAGTCGCAGTGATGTTGCATGCAAGCCGTACATTGTACCCCATCTTGAGAATCGAGCCCACCAATCGCGTGCGCTTGAGCAGTAGCTGCAGAGGTGGCATGGGGGGGAAAGGGGAAGGGGAGGGGAAGGGGGAAGGGGGGGGAAGGGGGAAGGGGGGGGAAGGGGTGGGGAGAGATGTAAGGGGAGAAACATTGATGTTGAAACGCAAGCCGCACATTGTATCCCATCTTGAGAATCGAGCCCACCAATCGCGTGCGCTTGAGCAGTAGCTGCAGGGATGGCCCAGGGGGGAAAGGGGTAGGACCGGGGGGGAGAGGTGGGGGAGGGATGGGGAGGGATGGGGAGGGATGGGGAGAGATGGGAAAGGGTGGGGAGGGATGAAGGGGAGACGCAGTGATGTTGGAAGCTTGCTGCCGCCACCAGCCTGAACCCCACTTAGCCTTCCTGTCAACCTAGTTTTGAGGCGCCTCAAAACTGAACCCCCACTTAGCCTTCCTGTCAACCTATGCTTGTTTCAAGTGCCCTGTCAACCTATGCTTGTTTCAAGTGCCCTGTCAACCTATGGAATATTCCATAGGAACAGGAACCGTGGTGAAATCACCTTTGAAAATCCTCAAAAAGTGCTCTCAGCTTACCTGCTTGTTTCAAAAGACCCATATTCTACAGGAACGGAACGTACCTGCTTGTAACCTATCCTTCCGTATTCCATGGAGTAAGGAACAGTGATGTTGGGGGTGCGCCTCAACATCACACGATTAAAGCCAGGGTCTCAAGTGACCAAGTGCTTTGCAGTCGATGAAAAACGGGCCTGTTTGATTGGTTTACAAATTTGGGGCCAAAGTTTTGACAAATCGAGACTCTCCAAAAAGCCCACTTTTCGCCCAAGTGCTTTGCAGTTGCACGGCCAACCCGTACATGAGACCCTGGCTTTAAACCCGCTTCTACCGGCCTATCTGTTTGCCACTTACCTGCTTGTACCCAATCCCTCCATATTCCATGGAGAAGGGAACAGTGATGTTGGGGGTGCGTCTCAGACCAGACACGATCCTGCCTAGCTGCCACTCACCACGAGCACCAACCGTATTCTCCCCACCTGCTTTCAAACCCACCTGCTTGTATCCAATCCCCCCGTATTCCATGGAGAAGGGAACAGTGATGTTGGGGGTGCGCCTCAGACCAGACACGATCCTGCCTAGCTGCCACTCACCACGAGCACCAACCGTATTCTCCCCACCTGCTTTCAAACCCACCTGCTTGTACCCAATCCCTCCATATTCCATGGAGAAGGGAACAGTGATGTTGGGGGTGCGTCTCAGACCAGACACGATCCTGCCTAGCTGCCACTCACCACGAGCACCAACCGTATTCTCCCCACCTGCTTTCAAACCCACCTGCTTGTACCCAATCCCCCCGTATTCCATGGAGAAGGGAACAGTGATGTTGGGGGTGCGTCTCAGACCAGACACGATCCTGCCTAGCTGCCACTCACCACGAGCACCAACCGTATTCTCCCCACCTGCTTTCAAACCCACCTGCTTGTATCCAATCCCCCCGTATTCCATGGAGAAGGGAACAGTGATGTTGGGGGTGCGCCTCAGACCAGACAACCCCTCCCAACCTTCCATACAAGCACCCCCACTTCTAACAAACTACCTACTTATGCCTTCATCTATCCCTACCTGTTTGTATCCAATCCCCCCGTATTCCATGGAGAAAGGCACAGTGATGTTGGGAGTGCGCCTCAGACCAGACGCAGTCGCCACCCGCCTTGCCGCCCGTTTCATCACCTTAGCCGCTGCCACCAGCCTGAACCCCCACTTGGCCTTCCTCCTCCCGCCCTCCCCTCCCCCTCCATCCCCACCCCCTCCAACCCCTCCGAACCCATCACCACCGCTTCCACCAGCACTCATCAGCAGCCTGTTCCCATGCCTGCCCTCCCTCCAGTCAACCACCAAATTGCCCTCCTCTGCCCTTGTCCCCTCCAACCCCAGCAACGTGCGCGTGCCATTGTAACGAGGTGACTTTTGAGTCGACTCAAAAGTCACCACCAAACCGCCCTCTTCTGCCCTTGTCCCCTCCAACCCTAGCAACGTGCGTCCCACTCTCCCCCCACGCTGCCCCTGCTGCGACCCCTGCTGCTGCCCGTCCCCTCCCGCACTTTGCAAATACGCCGCTGCTCTCAAATGAGCCGCTTCAGCAGCAGCAGCAGCAGCAGCAGCAGCAGCAGAGGACGATGAGGAGGAGAGGGAGGAGTTGAGATGAATGAATGACGGCCGAAGAAGGAACACCGCGTGCCCTTTGGCGAACAAATCCAATGCCTGTTTCGCCGATGTGGTAATAATAAAGAAATTCGTAAACCCTAGCTCGCGCACGTAACACAGCCAGTTGGTGAGCATATCTGCAAACCCTACGCTCGTCATCACAGCCACGACAGTGTTATTCGTCTGAATCACCGACAGCATTTTCCGGAGCCCTTTCACGTCTTGGGCGTACAGTCCCCTTCGCACCGGCCGCCCGCACATGTCCGTTCGCGGCGTTCTCAGCAAAGCGTCGGCACTTACTGCGCTTTTCTCCAGCGCTCTAACAACCCGGGGGCTCTCTTTCCCTAGCGCATACTGCGGATCGTCGAACAGTCTCGCCAGCAACACCTCCTTGGCTTTTTTCGCCTTCGCTACCTCGGCAGCTTCTTTTGGGTTCAGTTTCCGTTTCGCTTTGGCCGCGGCTGCTACTAACCCTTTCGCCCGCTCCTCCTGCTTCCTGATTGGTGCTAATGAGACGCACATGCTGCTCCCGTTAATATCCGGCGCGAGCAGATTAAACCGCCCGTGGCTATCGAGTAATGAGTGTATTTGCTGCACCGGATCCGCCTGGCACGTCTTGGTGAAATAATCCGTCCCCAGATCCGCCCTCCCCCGCCCCTGAAACTTCCCCTGAAGATTCACCGAACCTTCCCGGCTTGCCGCCACAGCTGAGATGGCAAAGGCGGCGTCTTTGAGGTGGGACACGGCAGAGGAGAGGGTGAAGGAGGTGTTGGGGAAGGAGCGGCGCCAGAGGAGGATTTCCTCCCAGGGCGTTGGGAAGACGAACTGACAGTCGATGGTGAGTGCCTGGTGCAGGTGCCACACGGGAGGGGGTTGCTGAGGCACTGCGGGGAATGACAGAGAAAGTGATGGGGCAAGGGATCGAAAGCAGGACAGGGGGGTGAAAAGATGAACTGACAGTCCACAATTATTGCCACGCTGGAGGGGGTTGCTGGGGCACTGGGAAGGATAAGGGAGGAGTGTGGGCATGTGGGAGGGAGGGGAAGGAGGAGCATAGGGCGTTGGGAAGACGAACTGACAGTCGACGGTTAGAGCCTGGTGCAGGTGCCACGCGGGAGGGGTTTGCTGGGGCACTGGGCAGGGAAGGAGAGAAAGGGGGTACGGGAAGCGGTAGCAGGCAGGGAGAAGGAGAAGGAGGTGTTGGGGAAGGAGTGGCGCCAGAGGAGGTGAAGGCTCATCTGGTGCTGTGCCTGGATCCAGGACATTGATCCCGAACAGGGGGGAGAAGGGCGGGCTAGAGTACGGAGGGCTCGTGTGTGTGCATAGGCGAGTGTGTGTGGGGGGGATGAAAGGTTCATCTGGTGCTGTGCCAGGATCCATCCAGGACATTGATCCCGAACAGGGGGGAGAAGGGCGGGCTAGAGTACAGCTCGCCAACACTATCACCACCACCATCATTGCTGGGAGGAGCAGCGCCCGCAAGCATCTCAACAGAGTCAACCAGGAAGCAGTAGAAGAAGGGTGAGACGCGCGCCGAGTCCCGCATGAAAAATACAAGGCAATCCCCAGGGCGTGTGTGTGTGTGAGCAGGTGTGGGTGGGGGGGATTGGAAGCTCACCTGGTGCTGTGCCCGGATCCAGTATATTGATCCCGAACAGCGTTGAGAAGGGTGGGCTGGAATACAGCTCGCCCACACTGTCCCCCCCATCGTCACTAGGGGGAGCAGCCCCCGCCAGCATCTCAACGGAGTCAACCAGGAAGCGGTAGAAGAAGGGCGACACGCGCGCCGAGTCCCGGCCACATTCAAAGTACAAGGCAACCCCCAGGGCGTGCGGGTGGGTGGGTGGGATTGAAGGCTTACCTGGTGCTGTGCCCGGGTCCAATATATTGATCCCAAAGAGGGTGGAGAACGGTGGGGAGGAGTACAGCTCGCCAACACTGTCCCCACCGTCATCGCTGGGAGGAGCAGCCCCCGCCAGCATCTCAACGGAGTCCACCAGGAAGCGGTAGAAGAAGGGCGACACGCGCGCCGAGTCCTGCAGGTAAAACGCGATCCCCAGAGCCGATTTCGGACGCCAGGCGTCCAGGAAGGTCAGCGCCGCCAGCTCGCTGCTGCCGCCCCGTGCAGCGCCGGCTGTAGCAGCAGCAGCAGCAGCTGTAGCAGAGGCTGTAGCACCGGTGGATTTAGCAGCAGCAGCAGCTGTTTTGGCCGGCTTGGCACCAGCGGTAGCCGGTTTACCCTTGCTGCTGCCTGCCTTGGCTGCTGCTCCTGCTTTAGCGCCTGTAGTTGCAGCAGCAGCAGCAGCAGCAGCATTCCCGGCTTTACCGCCTGGTTTAACACCTGCTGCTGCGCCTGCAGCTGAACCAGCCTTTGCTGCTGCAACCTTACCCTTGCCCTGCCCCTGCCCGCCCTTCACCGCAGCACCTTTACCCTGAACTGCCACCCCTTTCTTTGCTGCTACAGCCGCTTTACCCAGCAGGTGCCTTCCCCCACCCAAACCTGCATCCACAACCGAACCCAAACCCAAACCCCCGTCCCCTTCCAGAAGTGCATTTCCCCTGCCCTGTGCAAACTGCCCAGGCTCCCATAAACCCTCTCCCCAGTCCCCCTTTTTGTTAAACCCATACCCGGTTTCGTTCAACCCAAACCATCCATCCGCAGATACCCTTTCCAAAGCACCGCTGCCACAACCGCTTCCCCTGTCGGCAGTGTCATTACATCCGAGCAGCCTCCTACTCTGGAATATAGCTGCCTTGACTTTGTCTCTGGGAAACACAACAGCCCAGTCACTCTCCTCCCCATCACCACCCCCAGCAGCAGCACCAGCAGCACCAGCACCAGCAGCAGCAGCGCCTTTCCCGCCCCTCAACCCGGCAGCAGCGGCGGTTCTGGCAGTGGCGGTTTCGATGGTAGGGGCGTTGGATCGCACAGTGTAGGGGCCAAAGCGCCACTGCACGCGGCGGGTGGCGAGCATTATGGCTGACTCGTACTTGGGGTCACTGCAAATAGGTTGATAGGAGGAAGAGAGAAGAAGGGGAAAAAAGGGGTTAGGTATGGTTTCAAGTGGTTCTGCTATAGAGGGACAAAGAGAGGGGCGTTGGATCACACGATATGGGCCCAAAGCGCCACTGCACGCGGCGAGTTGCGAGCATTATGGCTTATTAATATTTGGGATCGCTGTGGTAGGGGATGGGGAGAAGGGGTTAGGTATGGTTACGGGTGGTTCTGCTAGAGAGAGGCAGAGAGAGAGAGGCGTTGGATCGCACGATATGGGCCCAAAGCGCCACTGCACGCGGCGAGTTGCGAGCATTATGGATGATTCATATTTGGGATCGCTGTGAGAGGGGATGGGGAGAAGGGGTTAGGTATGGTTACGGGTGGTTCAGCTAGAGAGAGGCGTTGGATCGCACAGCATAGGTCCCAAAGCGCCACTGCCCGCAGCGAGTGGCGAGCATTACAGCTGTTTCACACTTGCCATTTGGTTTACGTTTTACTTACTGGCAGTCCACCAGGAGGACGGTCAGGGGAACGTAGTTTTCGTCCCGAAGCATTTTACTCTGCAGCATGTCCAGACTTGCTTCCACCGACTCCCATCATAAGACGCCTTGTATCAATAATCTCGTTAAAAAAAAAAAAAAAAAAAAAAAAAAAGGTGTACCATTTGCATTGAGTTTTTACTTACTGACTCTCCAGCAGCACGGTAAGCGGAAGATAGTGCTCGTCCCACAGCACTTGTGCTCTGCAGCATGTCCAAACTCTCTTCCACCGACTCCACATCGTGAGACGCTACACTAGGAATAGGAAAGAAAGTACAATTTACTGCACGATTTGCTACTGGCAGTCCAGTAGAACGGTGAGTGCAACATACTGCTGGTCCCACAGCACTTTACTCTGCAGCATGTCCAAGCTCTCTTCCACCGACTCCACATAATAAGCCACCACTTGGTAATTTCGTATTGAAAATTGTTAAAAGTGTACCATTTAGTGTATGTTTCACTTACTGGCAGTCGAGCAGGACAGTGAGCGGCACGTAGTGCTCGTCCCACAGGACTTTACTCTGCAGCATGTCCAAACTCTCTTCCACCGACTCCACATCCTAACACGCTACTGTACTGGTTTTTATAAATTCGAATTGAAAATTGTTAAAAGTGTACCATTTAGTGTATGTTTCACTTACTGGCAGTCGAGCAGGACAGTGAGCGGCACGTAGTGCTCGTCCCACAGGACTTTACTCTGCAGCATGTCCAAACTCTCTTCCACCGACTCCACATCCTAACACGCTACTGTACTGGTTTTTATAAATTCGAATTGGAAATTGTTAAAAGTGTACCATTTAGTGTATGTTTCACTTACTGGCAGTCGAGCAGGACAGTGAGCGGCACGTAGTGCTCGTCCCACAGGACTTTACTCTGCAGCATGTCCAAACTCTCTTCCACCGACTCCACATCCTAACACGCTACTGTACTGGTCTTTATAAATTCGAATTGAAAATTGTTAAAAGTGTACCATTTAGTGTATGTTTCACTTACTGGCAGTCCAGCAGGACGGTGAGCGGCACGTAGTGCTCATCCCACAGGACTTTACTCTGCAGCATGTCCAAACTCTCTTCCACCGACTCCACATCGCACGACGCGATCAAATGCACGTGCACGTGCAACGAGTCGCTCTGATCGCCGGAATCCCCGCCGGACTCCTCCTCCCCCTCTCCGCCCCCCGCTCCCCCCGCTTCCCCCGCTTCCGCCGTTTCCCCGCCGTCGGACTGGCGCGACCGCTGCTTCAGCTGCTCCGGTAATTCCTCCTCGTCTCTCGCGAGGTGCACGCCTAAGTCGTTGCTCGATCCCTTGCCGCCCTTATCGTCTTCATCTGCGCTCATCAGCTGTCGCGTGATCGCTTTCTCGACAGTGTCCTCCTCGATTTCGACAAAAGACAGACCAGTTAAAGTGATGAAGGAGAGAGCTAGAAGGACCACTAGGAGCCGGAAGAAGGCGGGAGAGGTGAAGAGCGCGACTAGCGGAGGGGGTCTCGGCCGGAGATTCTTAGGGACGGGCACGCGAGAGGATAAGACGGCGCGAGTGGCGCCTACTCTTAAAGAGGCGGCTCCGCCTTTACTAGGATGTAGCCTCATTTTGAGGGTAAAATACTTTCACAATTACACGGGGCTTCGAATGCTGCTCTATACGGGGCGAATTTCGCGTAACGGAGGCAGGAGTTTTCAAATCCGGTACAAAAGTGCAAGCTCGATAGTAGGCATGCTCGCAGGCACACGAAATTAGGCAGCAAATAGACGGTGTACGGGAAATTTAGGGTAATTCAAGCTCTTCAATTCTCGCACGATATTCCCCACAATAAACGGGGGACAACTTTCGATTTTACTCGGGAGTCGCTTTATTTTCGACAAAGAAAATCAGGGTAATTTGCCTTAAAGATCCGCTCGCGATCTGCGCTGCGATCTTCCGCATTCTTTAGAAGAAGGCCCTACCGGAGGCCATTCGCATTGCGTCTTACGCGAAGGCTAAACACGAACGCCATAACCGAGTTGCACAGACCAGTTCTGACTTTTTTTTTTTTTTTTTAAATGCCTCGTTACCAACCGGCGATCTGCCGAGTCTTACGCGAAAGAAGCGGGGCCTGATAAAGACGTGTTGGCTAGAGTTAAAACTAGAGGACCAAGCGAGCCTCCAAGTTGCCGAGCGGAATGCCCTAACTGTCTAACTGCCGAGCTGTTTCGCAGCGAATGAGCTGTGACGCTGTGGCATAGGATAATATGGTTCGCCTTGAGGCATGAATTCCTCAAAAAGTACTAACTTCACGACACGACTCCATGAGAGAATGATAGAGAGATCAGGAGAAGAGGCAATGCAAAGGCTGATCAGGAAAGGTAGCGGATCGCTGCAGCTACAAGCAGCAGCACCACCAGCACTACCCCACCAGCAACACAGTGTGCAAGTGTGGTGTGAATGTGGGTGAAAAATACCTACTTCCCAGATGGTGGTGGTGGTGATTGGTGAAATAGGAGGCTGGAGGATGGAAGTCAAGTTTGTTCTTCAGATGATCCCAACCCAAGACTGCTGCTTTCTACAGCGCTTCCCATTCGCTGAGGAGCAAGAAATCAAGCTCCAACAATTTCGGGCCCCGAGAATGCCGAGCCAGCCTTCCCCGCTCACGTCGAAATTGCCGAGCCATTTTGGCCCCTCGAGATCGCCGAGCCAGCCATTGCTTCGAGGTTGGTGGTTGGGGAAGGTTTGGGAAGGTACACGTGCAGCTCCCGCAGTTATAACGAGATTTATGATTCTGAGGGTGCGAGTGTAGTTGAGGTGGAATAGCCCCAGGGCTTTATGCAGAACAAACATTTGATTAAATAACTAGAAGCAATGAAAAAAACACTTGGAATGTCACAGAAAAACGCAACCTTCAAGCTGTTACCGGAATGCCCCTCTTTCAGGTCCAGCTTCTTCTCTCACATATCTTGGCCTCGATATCCTTGCCACAGAGAATAGGAGCAAGCAACGTGGCCCCACCTTTCTGCCATATCTTTTTACACCACTCAACAACCTCAACCTGCATCACAGACTCAGCGCAAAAGAGACGGCAAGATGATAAAAAATAACAGTATAACATAAGAAACACGCTGACAGCGATTGAAGGAGACTGAAGGCTCAAAACAAGACCATACCAATTACATCATTTTACTAACCTCAAGAAATGGTTTGTTGGAGACGTAATGGCCGTCTACTGTATATTCCCCGTCACCCATATCTACAGTGAGTGCCATTCCACCCGAATCAGCCGACGAGGGTACAGACTCAACAGCTTGCTTGCGCACAACACCTGGACGGGAGCACAACACATAATAAAGTGTGCAGAAGGATAAAAAAATGACAACAATTGAACTTGCTTGAACCAATGAGGAAGACAACAAAGAGAGGAGGAAAGGGGGAGGGGGAGAGAGGGGAAGGAAAGCATGGTTGCTAGCAGGTGCCAGGGCATTTGTTACAAACCTCTAATTTTGGCCATGCGGTAACCCGTGCCGCCCAAATCCTCCTCTTTCTTGCCCAATCGGAGGCGGAGGAAGCAGCCAACCACTCGTGCCCTGACACCTGGATGGCTTTGGATCCTGCAGGCACAGTCGAAGGGCAGATAGAAAGACGCTAGAGCAAGGTCAAGCTGCTGCTTGAACATTTGGGTTGCTGTGATGCGATGCGGTGCGGTGTGGTATGGTATGGTGTGGTGTGAACAGGGTTGGGGGGGGGAGTGGGAAGGTGGATGCGGAAGGAAAAAGGGGGGGTGAGTCACTCGACAAAAACCCTTCAGAAAAGACGCAGCGATGGAAGCAATCAGGGCAGTGGAAGCGATGGAACAGACTACCACCCCCTTATAACTTGACTGAAAAGCCCCCTTGTAACAATGTCACAGGCGAGAGGGAGCGGGTGGGGACACTCACTTGACAATATCCCTTCGGGAGAGGTGCAGCGATTCGATGGAAGCGAGCAAGGCACGGGTTAAGACGCCATCCCCTTGTGAGCCGACTGGAAAGTCAATGCGTTACTACAAACGCCTCATGTTGAGAAGGAAAGGGGGGAACTCACTTGACAATATCCCTTCAGGAGAGGCGCAGCGATTCGATGGAAGCGAGCAAGGCACGGGTGAAGACGCCATCCCCTTGTGAGCCGACTGGAAAGTCAATGCGTTACTACAAACGCTTCATGTTGAGAAGGAAAGGTGGGAACTCACTTGACAATATCCCTTCGGGAGAGGCGCAGCGATTCGATGGAAGCGAGCAAGGCACGGGTTAAGACGCCATCCCCTTGTGAGCCGACTGGAAAGTCAATGCGTTACTACAAACGCCTCATGTTGAGAAGGAAAGGGGGGAACTCACTTGACAATATCCCTTCAGGAGAGGCGCAGCGATTCGATGGAAGCGAGCAAGGCACGGGTGAAGACGCCATCCCCTTGTGAGCCGACTGGAAAGTCAATGCGTTACTACAAACGCCTCATGTTGAGAAGGAAAGGGGGGAACTCACTTGACAATATCCCTTCGGGAAAGGCGCAGCGATTCGATGGAAGCGAGCAAGGCAGCAGGCAAGCCGCTGCCTTCCTGTGCCGTGCCATGTGGGTCGAAGAGATCAAACCAGCCTGGGAAAACAGCAGGAGCGTTCCATGTGCCCCCCGCTTCTCCTTCCTGTTTTCCGGTCACATTAGTGCTTGTGCCTGCCACCCGTTTTGCCAGGTCTGCTGCTGCAGCACCTGTGCTTGCAGGTAAGCGGTGCGCAACAGCACAAGGAAGTGCAAGAGAGGCAGCACTGGGAGGAAGTGCTAACGCCTCGCCTGCTGCACCTCCCAGTGCTGCCTCTCTTGCTGTCGCTACTTCTCCAGCTGCTCCTGTGCCTGCTACTGCACCCGTGTCTCTGTGCACTGCAGCAGCTGGCAAATCGCCTGCTGCAATGCGCTGTGCTAACTCTCTTGCTGTCCCTACTGCTACTCCTATATCTGCCCCTACTGAGCCTGCTCCTGCTTCTGCTGCGGAACCAGCGGTTCTGTGCGATGCAAATGGTATGTCTATGGATGCCCCTACTGTAGTCTTTGCTCCTGCTTCTGCTGCTGCATCAACTGCACCAAGGCGATTCCCTAGCCTGCGCGTGTCTCTTCCCGTTACTGCACCTTCCCCAGCCTCTGCTTCTGCTGCAGCTGCTTCTGCCGTCGCTACTCCACCCCCTGCTGCTTCTACCCCTGCTTCCCCCACTGCCTCTGCTGCTGCTGCTCCTGCCGCTGCTGTTGTGTGAGAGTCAAACAGGCTCAGAGGATTACCATACAGGGGTTTGGGAGGATCAAGAGACCAGGAGATTAGAGGACCATCAAACCAAGGGGCATCCCCTGCTGCTGCAAAATCACCTTCCACTGCGTGGACCCCTGGGATTTCACCTGGCGTTTCTCTGCCCAATGCAACTGCTTCCCTTCCAGTGACAAGTGTGCCGTCCCCTGCTGCTGCAAAATCACCTTCCACTGTGTGGAACCCTGGGATTTCACCTGGTGTTTCCCTGTTCAGTGCAACTGCTTCCCCTCCAGTGCCAAGTTTTTCCCTACCTGATAACACCAGGCCTCTCAGAGTAACTGTGTTCGACACCTCTCGACCCGTCCCAGGCCCAGTCAACGAAGTTCCTCCAACTCCCGTACCAATTCCCGTACCAACCCCTGTACCAACCCCCGTGCCAGCTCCCGTACCAATCGTGTCTCTTCCCGTACCTGTGGTATCCCTGCCAGTGCCTGTGGTGGCCCGGCCCGTACCTGATGTCTCCCTTCCAGCTGTCTCCCTGCTACTGGTCGCGTGCTTCGCTCGGGTTCTTGCCAGGTCAGCACACTCCGCCGCCCAATGACCTTCTGCCAGACACCACAGGCAGACGGGGGTCGGCACGTCTTTGTCTTGTTCTGACTCCATATCCTTATCCTTGTCTCCCATTCCCTTATTCTCATCCTCTCCTCCTTCGTCCCCCTCTGACCCACCTGCTCCCTCTCCCCCGACTCCTTCCTCCCCAGCATCCTCCCCTGCTGTCCTGCTATCAGTCCTGCCCGCATCCTCTCCCTCCTCCCCTCCCTTCTCCCCTTCCTCCTCCTCCATACGCTCATCCCCACCCTTCACTCTCTCCTCTCCTCCCTCCTGCTCCTCCATACGCCCACCCACACACATCCCTCCTTCCTGCTCCTCCTCCTCAACCTCCTTCCCATTCCCCACTTCCTCCTCCTCACTGCCTCCCTCCTTGCTCCCCTCCCCGTCCTCCAATCCCCTCATGCTGCTTCGCCCTCCTTCCTGCTCTCTCTCCCCACCTTTCACTCCACACTCATCAGCCACTACCCTCATCTTATCCCCCTCTTTCCCAGCATCCTCCCCTCCTCTTCCTTCCCCCACTGCTGCTCCACCAATCACCAAGTCATGAGGGGCTAGAAATTCGAACCCCCTTCCTCCTCCTCTTCCCATCCCCATCCCTGCTCCACCACCCACCAACTCATGGGGAGTTGAAATGCCACCCCCCACATTACAGTTCCCCATCTCAGTAGCACCTGCTCCAGCCACACCTGCTCCACTAAAGAGTGCTCCCATAACCGCATTACTGTTCCCCCCACAGCTCGACATACGCCCAGCGCTTTCACTATTACTGTTCAGTACACCCAGTCCTCGTTTTAAGCCCAGGGCCTTTGCAAGTGCAAGCGGGACAGAAGAAGGTCGAGGGGTTCCATAGGGAAGATAGGAACCAATTCCAGCCAGACTTGCAACCACTCCCAACTCCTCTGTCTTACCTAACCCGTCCCCAACCCCACCTACAAAATCCTTTCCCCCCATAATATCTCCTCCTAAGGATTCTATACCACCTAATGCTGTAATACCTTCCCCTGTGTCCCCTGCTCCTTCTTTCACACCACCCAAGCCCACTCTTTCCTCCTTCTCCCCCCTCTTCCCTCGCCCCTCCTCCCCGTCTCCCGCTCCCCCTCTCCGCCTCTTCCCACCCCTCCTCCTCTTTTCCTCCTCCCTCTTCCGCTTCCTCCCTTCTACTCGCCTGTCCACTTCCCCCTTGGCACCCAGCCGGCCAATCAGAGCCGAGGTTTCGGAGTCAAGAGTTTCAACGCAAGTCAACAGGGTGTGGCCGGGCAGCCCGCAAAAATCACAGCGGGGGCTCCAGCCAATGAGGGACCGGCCCAGGGCCAGGTAGCCGATTTCGAGGATGGGAAGGAGCATGCACCTGGCACTGGTTGCAGTTGGGGGGAGGGCAGTAGCATTGCTAAGAGCACCAGTAGCCGTAGCAGCAGCATCGGCAACAGCAGCACCAGCACCAGCATCACCAGTACCGGCAGCAGCATCAGTATTCGTGGCAGCAGAGCCTTCCTCTCCTCCACCATCCATACCCCTTCCTGCTCCTTCTCTCCCCTCCTCTCCTTCCGCCCTTTCTCCATCATCCCCCTCTCTTACTCCCTCTCCTCTCTCTCCTCCCTCTATCCCCTCTCCACCCCCTCCTCCTCGATCCACTCTATCCTCTCTTCCCTCTCCACCCTCTCGCACCCCATTCAACTGCCTCACACCCATGCCCTTCCCAACAAGCCCTAGGCTCCGCTCCTGCCAGCCAATCTCCTCGCGCCACCTGGCGGCGTCCTGTCGCCACCTCCGCAGCGCTGCCAGCCTGGCAGATTGCTCATCTGGCAACAACCCTCCTACCGCCGCCCGCTCCTTCTCCCTTATCCTCCTCTCTCTGTCCTTTTCCTGCCTCTCACCGTCTCTCTCCCCTCGGTGCCCCCTCCTCTTCCCCCGCCCCTCCTCCCTCTCATGCCTTGGAGCAACACCGTCGTCACATTCATTCTCTTCTCTCGCTCTCTTCCCTCGCCCCTCCTCCTTCTCATCACACAGGATTCGGACCACATCCCTCTTATCACACCCAATCGGCCCTTCTTGCCTCTCCCGCCCCTGCCTTCCTCTGCCGTGCTCTAATCCTTCCCCTCGTTCCCCTCTTCCCCCTCCATCTGCTCTCTCGCCTTCTCTTTCCCTACTCTCATCATGCCCCACCCGTTCCAGCCCCATGTGCAAATCTGGTAACAACTGCCCCACTCCACCTCTCAAGCCTATCCTTTCCCCCTCTCCCAGCTCTTCCAGATACCTCCCTTCTGTTCCCATCGCTGCAGCATCAACCACTCCGTACCGCATGTAACCCATTCTCCCTACGCCATCCAACCTGTCATCCTGCCTCCCCTTCTGCCACACCTCCTTCCCTTTCTCCTGCCTCCTCTCCTGCGGTCCCTCCTGCTGTCCCTCCTGCCCTTTCTCCTGCACTCCATAGCTCAAATATCCCGTTCTCCCTATGCAAGCCGCCACCCCGCCCACCACTCCATCCTGCCTCCCCTCCTTTCTCTCCTCCTGCCTTCCCTCCTGTTCTCCTGCCCCATACCCCCCTCTCCCCCACGGGTCGCCTCCGACTATTCCGATCCCCGCAAGTTGACCCTGCACTCCTGCTGCTTCACCTGCCCGCCCTTCCCTTGCCCAGAATAGCCGCTCTATCTCTCTTTGTGCTTCTTCCCCCTTCCTCTCACCCCCCACTGCTACTGAAGTGTACCGCCCTTGTGCCTCCTCCCCTCTTTCTCCCTCCCCCTTCCCCGTCCTCTCACCCCTCACTACTAATGGATTATACCCGCCTTGCGCGTCCCCTCTTTCTTCCTCCCTCTCTTCCCCCCTCTCCCCGTCCTCCTCCCCCTCCCTCGCGACCTCTCCTCCCCTTTCCCCCTGCCACCTTCCACGCACCTTCCTCCCTCCCTTACCTCCAGGCACTGGCCCTCCCACACACCTACTTGCAGCAGCAAGGGAGTCCGAGCCTGCAGGTGCGTGAATAGCCGAACCTGCTGCGTCAGGTATGGAAACAGCTGGGACTGCTTTCATCCCAGCAAATCCTCTTGCAGCAGTAGCACCACTACCCACAGCAGACAAAGCAAAAGTAGCAGACACAGCAGCAGCAGGAGCTGCAGCAGCAGCACCAGCAGCGACAGCAGCAGCAGCACCGCCACCACCGCCACCACCACCCGCCACTGCGCTTGCACCAACACCAGCACTAACTGCCTGCCTGCTCAAGTCAGGCCCAGCAGTCAGATTAGGGTTTTGCAACAGGCCCGAATTAGGGTTTGGGATTGACCAAGGCCTTAAGGTCAAATTAGGGTTTGTCTTGGGGCTCATATTAGGGTTAGGATTTCCAGCCAATCCCAGCATAGCAGCTCCTGAACCGGCTACTCCCGCCGCTGCTCCCGGCATAACTGCTGCAGCTGCCCTTCCTGCCACAGCTACCCCCACTGTTGCTCCTGGCATAGGTACCGCTACAGCTGGTCCTCCTGCTACAGCCCTTGCTGCCAAGGCCGGGAGCCTTTGATACTGAAGGAGGGAGAGAGGACTGGGAGAGACTGCACGGGACTCTGGAAATTCCGCTCTCTGTCTGTCCGCCCTGTCCGCCCCCTCAGCTCTGTCCACCCTCTCAGCCTTATCAGCCCTCTCAGCCTTATCAGCCCTCTCAGCCTTATCAGCCCTCTCAGCCTTATCAGCCCTATCAGCTTTATCAGCCCTTGCGGAAGAGGGGTAAGAGGGTTTCTGATACTGAAGAAGGGTGAGAGGGCTGGGAGAGGCTTTGAGGGGTTGACACTGAGACATCCCACGAGGTTCCGGTATTTCTGCTCCTGGTCGGTCTGCTCCTCCTCTGTCTCCTCCCTTTCCTATGATCCTATTTCCTCCAACAGAAGCCTTAGGCTTGATCAATCGTGCAAACCACTGCCCACCAGGGGTTGAGCTCACCCCTTTGAAACCACTTCCTTTGGAAGCATCCCCCTTAAAAGCAGCTCCTTTGAAGGCATCCCCGTTATAAGCACATCCTTTAGAAGCACTCCCTTGACAAGCACCTGAGTACAGTTGACTTCCCTTGGTTTCGATCCTGGGTGGTCGGGGAGAAACATCCCGACCTGTTGCTGTGCTAACCAGAGGCCGAGGCTCGGCACCGAACCTGTCCGCGCTTCGGCCCAAGCCTCGAGGCGAGGTTTGGGGGAGTGGAGGCAGGGAGGTAGGCAAGGCTTGCGCTTCAAGGCGTGCTGGCGTGGCAATGGCTGCTGGAGCCCCTGTTGACCCTGCTTCAGCTCCTACCAGCCCCCCTTGATGCGTCTGCTGCTGCTGCTGCTGCTGCTGCTGCACCTGTGGATATTCACCTTGCTGCAAGCTGAGCATCTCAAATCCCTCTGCACGTCCCCCCTCCTGCTTTTGGCGTGGCTGCTGCTGTTGCTCGCCCTTTCCTACCCTCCCCTCATCTCCTTCCTCCCCTTCCCTCTGTTCCATCACTACCCACTCCTCCTCCCCTTCCCTCTCCTCCCCCTCTTCCCTCTCTTCCCTCTCCTCCCTCCCTCCTCGCACTTCCCTCCCATCCCTCTCCTCCCTCCCGCCTCTCCCACCTCTCCAATCCCTCCCTTCCCTCACCTTCCTCCCCCACTCAATCCCATGGAAAGACGACCCCCGCCCCAGAAAAGGCAGCTGAGAGGCAAGGGACGAAGCGGGGGGCGAGACAGACACCCCAGCAGCAACAGTGGATGTGGGGGAAGATACACGGGCAGCCACAGCTGCAGAGACAGATGCAAGCCCACCCCTAGCAGCTATAGCAGCTGTCACACCTGCATGGAAATCCAGAGTGGAGATTTCCTGGGGGTTTCTCCTTTCTGCTTGGAACGATGCTGCACCTGGCTCCAGGGCGACTCCCAGACCTAGTTCCAGGCCTAGACCCGGACCTCCTGCCGAGCCTGCGCGTGGCTTGGCTCGGTTTCTGCCTGTGGATTGCCAGAGCGAAATCTGCTTTGGTATGGGAGACCTCGCCCGGGGGAAACCATTCCCTCTCCCGCCAGCTGCGTGTGCTTCACCCCCTTCTCCTACTGCTCCCCATCCTCCCCCTCCTCCCCCTCCCCCCCCCTCCTCCTCCTCCTCCTCCTCCTCCTCCTCCTCCTCCTCCTCCTCCTCCTCCTCCTCCTCCTCCTCCTCCCCCCTCCTCTAATCCACACCCTCCACCTCGCCCAACGCCACCTACTGTTCCTGGTCTCTCCCTACCCCTCCACACACAGCGCTCCTCCTGGCTGAACCCTGCAACAGCTTCCTCCTCCTCCCCCAACTCCTCCTCCGCCTCTTCTCCTCCCCCTCCTCTCCCTCCTCTTCCTCCCTTCCGCCACAGCAACCCAGCTTCTCCCCAGCTACCTCTCAAACCCCCCCAATTCCTATCAACCCTTAACACCTCCTCTCCTCCCCATCTCCCTTCCCTGGCCCCCCCTCTCCCCTCCTCTGATGCCCTTATCACGTCAGCTGCATTTTCCATACCTGCACCTCTCCCCGCCCATATCCCATTTTCCACCCCTACCCCGTTCCCAGATCCCACCCCTCGCGCTACCCCCAACCCATTCTCCCTTCCCTCCCCTCTTTCCGCCTCTACCCCTCTCTCCATCCCAGTACCTCTTTCCACACCTCCTCTCTCCGCCCTTCCTCTCTCTGCCCCTCCTCTCTCCTCCCCTCTTCTGTTCGCCTCCCCTCTCTCCGCCCCTCCTCTCTCCTCCTCTCGTCTCCCCCCTCCTCTCCGCTCCCCCCTTCCTCCCTCCTCCCTAACCATACCAGTCCTAAGGTCGCTAGCCTCCCCATCCTCAGTCCCGCCTTCCCCAGTTCCACCCTCCCCGAGGCTCCCCCTCAAGCTCAGGAGCAGGGAGCCTGCAGGTACAACCTGTAGCACCTCCCTTCCTCTCCACACTTGCCCCTCAGGAGCGTGCTGACTCGGCTGCAGGTGCTGTTGGGGGTGTTGCTGCTGTTGCTGCAGTTGATGGTGTTGCTGTTGCTGCTGCTGTTGCTGCAACTGGTGCTGCTGCCGCTGTTGCAGAAATTCGTAGGGTGGACGATTTTCCTCCTGCTGCTGCTGGTGGTGCTGATGCTGATCCTGGTGTTGCAACCGGGATGGATGTTGCTGTTGAGTCTGATGATACTGCTGCTGACGCTGGTCGTGATGATGATGCTGATCGTGATGATGTCGACGGTGCTGATCGTGCCACATGTGCCAGGGTTGTGGAAACTGACTCGGCAGCTGCTGGTGATGAGCTGGCAGCTGCAGATGATGTGGCAGCAGCTCTTGCTGACGACGATCGGGAAGCTGCTGCTGCTGACGTGGCAGCGCAATCCCTACAGCAAGGCGATCATCAGAATCTGATTGGCCCAGGAGGATCCTATCCTCTGTTCCGCAGCTCCCACTGTTTAACCCGCTGTGTAGCGCTGGCACCAGCAGTGCCTCCTCTGACCTCTCTGCACCACCCCCAACACCTAAAGTGACTCGAGCAGCAGCACCAGCAGCAGCAGAAACGCCCCCAGCACCGGACGAAGCAGCAAGAGCAGAAGCAGCATCAGCAGCAGAAGCAGCGGCAGCACCACCAGTAGCAGGAGGTGCACCAGAAGCACCACTAGCAACAGCAGTCGCAACGGAGATTGCAGTTGCAAAGGCAGTGGCAGTGGCAGTGGCAGTAGCGGTGGCAGGAGCAGCAGCGGCGGCCGCGGCAGCAGTGGCAGTGGCATTCGCAGTGGCAGCAGAGACAGCAGGATTCAAGGCAGCGTTGATGGTTAGATATGCAACAAGAGTTGAGTCTGAATTCAGGGTTTGACCAGCAGTAGGAGTTGAGTCTAAGTTTGAAAATAGACCAGCAGCAGGCGTCAAGGCAGCGTTTGGAATGAGGCCGGCAGCAGCAAGGTGTGGAGCGAGCCACCCACCAGCTCCTCCCATTCTTGCCCATCTCCCTGCTCCGCCATGGCCACTCCTAGCTGACCCACGCCTCCCTCCTAAGCTGCTTCTCTCCGTTGGATCAATCTGTCCTGGTTCATTCCCGGACGTCGGATTTCCTCTGTCAGACCAACCTGCAGAGCCTGCTTCGCAGAGTGTTCTGCCCCTGGTTACCACCGTATCTCCGGTTACCACTGCATTTCCAGTTACCACTGCACCCCTAGTTACCTCTGCAGTCCCAATTACGAGTTCACCTTCGGTAACCTCCGCATCTATGGTTACCACAGGGCCTTGCAGCTCAGCAAATAACTGAGAACCGTCCGGTTCGTTTTCCTCTAAGAGCCTAACGCCTGCAGAGCCATTTTTTAGGCATTGGCTTGCGCCAGTACGCCATGAAACTAGGCGTGCACGAGAGCTTGAGATTGGGCCTGCGGGCTTGTGAGAAATTCCTAACGGCCTACCCTCCAGGCGATGATTATGCGTCAGGCGCTTTTCCTCCAGCTGCTCCTGATGTTGCTCCTCCTCCTGCCCTTGCCCCTCCTGTTGCTCCTGCTGCTGCTCCTTCTCCTGCCTCTCCTGTCGCTCCCCCTGTTGCTCCTGCTGCTGCTCCTTCTCCGGGCACTGTTCGTCCTGCTTCCTAGGTTGCTGCTGTTGGAGCGACTCATTAAACCTCCTCTCCGTGCTCCTCTCTCCCAACATATCCTGAGGCCTTTCCAAATAGTCAAATCCACCTTCAATTTCCCTCCCACATTCCAGTCCTCCTTCTGCTGCTCCCCCTCCTCCTCCTAATCTTCCAGCTCCGAGACTGCACTCGCCATCCCCGATATAAGCGTATTCTCGAACTCTCACTGCATCGCATCGCTCCTGAGACTCGAACGAGGAACCACCGCCAGCCGTGGTTACAGTCTTATCCTTCAACTAAATTCTTCAGATTCTCGTTCTATTCAATTACTACAACCTTTGTAACGACTCACTTCCTTCTCACGCGGTTCAGTTGTCGCGACCGTAATTATTAACTTCCGAATCAGCCGCTGCTTCTTACAGCTGGTCCTCTAACCTCCACTCGAAACGTCGCGTGCTCTGATTGGTCATTCGCAACAGCGCCGTCGATACTTATCTTAATCGCTCAGCACGCCATAGATGTCGAGCGAGCATACAAATTAATAATAGTAACTGAAACGAGCTCCAAGATAAGCTCTAAAACGGCAAAGCCGTAAATCTAGCAGACAGCTTTTCAAGAGCCTGGAATATACGCTCTGAAAAACAACATACTAGTAGTGCAATTCGTCATGTGCTATCCCCGTACTAGAAGCGTCGTGCCTAACGCCAGAAACTCAGTTTCCGTCACGCTTCCGAGGTCCACTCGTCTATGCTAGCTGTACCCTTGCCATCATAAGCCTATCCAATGCTCCCAAGCTCTGACCTATCACGAAGCACTAAATTCCGAAAGCGACTGATGCCTGTGGGCTGGATACCTGGAAATATCAAGGGAAAGGCTCGACTTTTGGAGATGCAATGCAACAAAGAAGTTGCCTGCTCTGTTTTTGTTTCTGTGCACCTGGATATTTTCGGCCGATGGCTGCCAGGCTGGGCTTGAGGGACACATCCTTCGATATTCCCGAGGGTCAGCGAGGGGATTCATTATAGTGCGACTACGAGGACTTCCAAAGAGCACTCCACTTTGGTCATCCAGTTCACTCTACGAAAGTAAGAAATAGGGCAAAGAAAATGGAGAGAGCAAACATGTCTAAACTTCTGATATGCACCCATCCCATTGGTTCAACACACAATGTATTATTTTACGCTGTCTATATACTTAGAATAGCATATGTCGATCTAGTCGGCATTACTAGCCATGGAATTTGATAGTCGTGTCATGTTGTAAACTCTGTACATGGGAAAATGACATGTGATGTGCAGGGCAAGCAGTCTACCACACACCGCTGCAGTGGCCCAGGGTCGCCCTTGCTGTCACTCCCAAGGCGTTGTATATGGGCAGCTGTACGTTCAGTAGGGAAGTGAGGGGTCGACAGGGCTGGGGAGTGGGGAAATAGTATTTGGACGTCATCGATTTGATCTGCTGCCCACTACTGCAATAATGGTACACATCAATCCACTTATATCCCCAACATATTCATGGTATTCAAAGAGCAGCATGCGTTGTTTTCATAATACCAGTGGAATCAGGTGACAATTGAAATTGAGAGAACAATTGCAGATAGATTCTACAAATATCCTCCCCACCTTCCCTTTCCTCCACACTCTAGTTAACCGCCTTATGCCCATTTGGCCTCACAAACAGTTTGTCTTACCGAGTTCTCAATAAATATGCACAAATCAGTAACAGACGCAGGAGCATCCAAGCATAGTTGTCAGTGCACCAAACTGCAATCCCACTCATCAGCTTGCGATCCTAGCGCAGCTTGTTTAACACACACATGAAAAGAAACATGACAAGCACTTCTAAAAGTAGGTGCAGCTGCATATGCAGCAATCAGAATCTTCTTCTGCCAAAAATATGCAGACACCCGCCCCATAGGCGCGTGCTGGATAATACAAAAGTTCCCTTGGTCGCCCTTCACCCATGAAACCCCTGATTGATTTCCCCTGTACAACAACATCCTTTTCAACGCTCACGTGAATTTTAGCTCTAGGCAGGTCTTAATGGCACCCACTCCCCTCTACTTCTCCCTGTGCCCCTATCCAAAGGAAGCTCACTTTTATTGAAAAAAATCATGGAGACATGGACAAAGCAGTAACTCCATTGTGTCCTTGAACATGTCTTGATGGCACTTGCCTTCGCCGGCACAAAGGCAGTGAGAAATATGACAGCAGAGAAACAAATGGATATGAGGGAAGGCAGTGAGAGACGCCTCAGAAGCAGCCTGGCATTTTATTGTCTTGATGATGTCACCCTTGCCATTATGGCGTTCAAAACGAATCCCATGGACGTATAAGACAACAAGAAGCACCAGCGGGAGAAGCAGTGGCAGCAGCAGCAGAAGCACAGGCCGCAGCAGCAACAGCAGGAGCAGCAGCAGCATAAGCAGGAACACAGAAACAACATTAGAAGCAGCAGAATCAGTAGCAGGATCAGGAGCCACAAGATCAGCAACAAGTGGAGGAGGAGGAGGGGGGGGACGAGGAGGAGGAGGAGGAGGAGGAGGAGGAGGAGGAGGAGGAGGAGGAGGAGGAGGAGGAGGAGGAGGAGGAGGAGGAAGAGGAGGAGGAGGATGAGGATGAGGAGAAGCAACAGCAGAGGAGAGTGAATAAGGCTGGGGAGGGAGAGGATGGAGGGGGAGAAGTGAGGAGTGGTGAGAAGGAAAGAGAGGGCTTGAGTAGTGGAGAGGGGGGACTACGAGGGGAGAGGACAGGTGGAATGGAATAAGAGGCATGTGCGGAGGGGCATTGAGGGAAAGAAAATCATAGCCTATTTTCTAAATTGGATTTCTGGAAAAGGGGGCTTGAGAAGGAAGAGAGATGGAGAGGCGAGAGTGGAAGATGAGCTATTTGCGGAGGGGCTAGTGGGGAACATATGAGAGAATGAGGGTAATATCTTTCAAGGGATAGAGTGTCACACGCGTGGGAATGAATACCCTTTTGCAAGCTTACTACACGAGGTGGAGGAATATTGACCATACCGTTAAACACTCCATAAAGAAAGTCAGGATTGAAGGCCTAGTAGTGGGTACAGGTTGGTAGTTGAAATAACATCCTTATTTGAATATCTGTAACAAAAAAAAGGATTGTACAATACAATCCATATAAGCAATACAAGTATGAACACATAATAAGAACTCAACTAGTGTTACAGACTGAGCACTTTCTGCCTCTACTGTTCCTGTGCCACACGTGCAGTCACCTAGCGGCTTGCATCAATCGCGGCAGCAGCAGCGCCTGAATGACTCTATCCAACTACTCCCATTGCCAGTACGTCATCTATTATGAAGCCCATGGGAATAGAAGACGGCAGGGCAGCAGCGGTGGGAGTAGACACTGGGGAGTAGTAGCAGGGGAAGCAGCAACAGCAGTGAGGGTCTGCTCAGGAGCCTCCAAGGTCAGTTATGTTCTTCATGTTGGTCCTGTTCCCAGGATGGCACCCATTGTGGATGAGAGGGAAGGCAGTGAGGGGTGCCTCAAAAGCTGACTGGCCTGTTGATGGCATGTTAATTTCGTGGTGATGCCCCTGTTGCCAGTATGCATCCATTATGGAGCCTATGGAAGTAGAAGTGGGTGGGGAAGCAGCTGCAGCAGGAGGAGGAATACGAGTTGCAGAAAAGGCAGCAGGAGTAGGAGCAGGAGCAGGAGCAGGAGCAGGAGCAGGAGCAGGAGAGCAGGAGAAGCAGCAGGATAAAGATCAGGAGCAGGAGCAGGAGCAGGAGCAGGAGCAGGAGCAGGAGCAGGAGCAGGAGCAGGAGCAGGAGCAGGAGCAGGAGCAGGAGCAGGAGCAAGAGCAGGAGCAGGAGCAGGAGCAGGAGCAGGAGCAGGAGCAAGAGCAGGAGCAGGAGCAGAAGCAGGAGCAGGAGCAGGAGCAGGAGCAGGAGCAGCAGCAGGAGCAGGAGCAGGAGCAGCGGCAGGAGCAGAGGAAATTGCGACAGAATCAGAAGCAGCAGCAGCAGCTAGAGCAGAAGCAACAGCATCATCATCAGCACTCGCGGCAGCAGCAGCAGCAGCATCTTAAGGTGCGCAGGGAGGTGGCGCAAGCTGAGACAGGAGAGGAAAACCAGCTCACCCTCATCTGGAGCACGAGGAGTGTGAGGAGGGAAGAGGACGGTTGAAGTGGGGAGAGGAGGGGTGATGAGAGGAGAGGAGGGGAGGGGAGTTGTGAGAAGTTTGGAGGAGGGTCGAGGAAAGGAGAGGAGTGTAGAGGAGGAATGAGAATGGGTGGAATGGAATAACAGTAGTGTGAGGAAGTGAGTTTGTTTCTTAGGGAAGAGAATCCTAATGCAAAGTGGGAATGAGGACAATACGGCCTAAAAGAGACAGAGGCACACGCATGGAAGGAATAGTGCTCTATGAGGAGGACGTACGTGTGGTGAGTCGATTTTTGAGTCGATTTTTTAGCCGACTCATCACACGCGGAATAGTGTTTCATAAGAAGGACGTGCTATGATTCGACCCAAATTTTACCTTGGTTTGGCCAGAGCATTAATGCATCTACACTTACCATTACGTTACAGCACACGTCACCTTGTATTGATCAAAGCTCCAAAGCTTAAAGCTTTACCGAAGGTGACTATTCGTACAGGTGACCGAGTTTAATGAGCACAGAAACCATGCAAACCAATCTGCAGAAGCAATACTATGCAATACAATTAATAGAAGCAATAAAATTTTGAATGAAACACATAGATAGTCACAATGAACTAATGTTACAGCTTGACCACTTCGGCCTCTTCCGTTCATATGCCATCTGCGGATTGCATCAAAAGAAGCAGCTGCTTCTGTGTCTAAATCAAACCATCTAAACAGCATGATCTGCAATGTCTGCTACTTCAGCAAGTCTTCTCTTGTGGCAACAGCACACAGTGGCAGCACACAGTGGCAGCACACAGTGGCAGCACACAGTGGCAGCACACAGTGGCAGCACACAGTGGCAGCACACAGTGGCAGCACCTACCATACCAGCTTCCACACTCTCTGCTGCTGCTTCAACCACTTTTGTCTTGCACCTGCAACACACAGATTCACTTACTGCCGCTGCTCCTCCCATACCTGCTTCTGCTCCTCCCGTACCTGCCTCCCCTCCACCCGTACCTGCTTCCGCTCCTCCCGTACCTGCCACTGCTCCTCCCGTACTTGCCACTTCTCCTTCCATACCTCCTAATGCTAATCCTTCAATTGCCACAGCTCCGCCCGTACCTGCCTACGCCATTTTTCTCTTACGCCTAAAGCTGCAGTGGCTGCCACTGTTCCTGCCAGTGCTGCCACTGTTCCTGCCAGTGCTGCCACTGTTCCTGCCAGTGCTGCTACTGCACTCTCCCCAGCAGCACCACTTCTGAGGCGCCGCAAAAGACTACCAGCCACTGCCCCTGCCGTTGCTGCATCTGCCAGTTTTCTCTTGCGCCTACATCCCAGCTGCAGTGCCTGCCACTGCTCCTGCCAGCCCTGCCTTTGTACTCTCCGCCGCAGCACCCCTTCTCCCTTGCGCCCACAGCACCCCTTCTCCCTTGCGCCGACAGCACCGCTTCTCCCTTGCGCCCACAGCACCACTTCTCCCTTGCGCCGACGGCACCCCTTCTCCCTTGCGCCCGCAGCACCACTTCTCCTTTGCGCCCAAAGCACCACTTCTCCCTTGCGCCCGCAGCACCACTTCTCCTTTGCGCCCACAGCACACACACAGCTGCACCTGCAGCTGCTTGCCAGCCCAAATCCGCTCTGAGCACTTTGTTTTACACAGAGCGAATTCTAAGGCTTATGCCTACTACACGACTGTAGCTCTCTGGGAAATGACTGAACATTGCACACACAGCTGCACCTGCAGCCGCTTGCCCGCCCAAATCCGCTTCCACACAGACTGCTGCTGCCTCTGACCTTCCTTTGCCGCTTCTGTACCCAGCTGCAGCAGCTGTCCCTCCTATCTGCCTCTACGCTGGCCCCTCACTGCTCCCCCTCCCATATTTTGAGGCGCCTCAAAACGAAATCTGCGAGCAGCTGTCCCTCCTATCTGCCTCTACGCTGTTCGCTGCTGCCCATCCCATGCCTGCCTCTGTGCTCTGTGCTCCTGCATCTCTGAATTACCTGCTGCATGCGACACACCACTGCTGCTGCTGCTGCTGCTGCTGCTGCTGCTGCTGCTGCTGCTGCTGCTGCTGCTGCTGCTGCTGCTGCTGCTGCTGCTGCTGCTGCTGCTGCTGCTGCTGCTGCTGCTGCTGCTGCTGCTGCTGCTGCTGCTGCGGCTGTGGCTGCATGCGATGGTGCTGCATCCACCAATTCTTTCATCTCCCTCCTCTCCTCAGCTCCTGCTGCTGCCACTGCAACTGCGTCTGCATAACCTGCTGCATGTGACACACCACTGCTGCTGCTCTATGTGATGCCACTGGTGCAGCTGCTGTCTTGATGTATCCACCGCTGCTCCTGCTGCTCCGGCTGCCACTGCAACTGCGTCTGCATAACCTGCTGCATGTGACACACCACTGCTGCTGCTGCTCTGTTTCCACCACTTGCAGTTGCGCTGCTCTGCTTCTACTACATCTGCTTCTATTCACTGCGGCCCCTCCCATGCCTGCTTCTACACTCTCTGCTGCTGCTCTGTTTCCACCACTTGCAGTTGCGCTTCTGGTAGCAGTTGGAGTTGCATTTCTGATTCCACCTAAAAGGTTGCCGTTACCCCCCTCGTTTCATTCGTGCACCTGCCCTGGTTCACCCACCTCCCCTGGTTCCCACACGCTATGCCTCCTTTGTTCAAACATCCGCACCCCAAATCTGATCACTCAACCCACCGCCCGGCTTTTTTTATGAGGCGCCTCCCTTGTTCGAACATCCACACCCCGAACCTGGGCTCAGCACCCCGAATCTCAGCTCAGGAACCCGAACCTGAGCTCAGCGCCCCGAACCTGAGCTCAGCACCCCGAATCTCAGCTCAGGAACCCGAACCTGAGCTCAGCACCCCGAACCTGAGCTCAGCACCCCGAATCTCAGCTCAGGAACCCAAACCTGAGCTCAGCACCCCGAACCTGAGCTGAGCACCCCCATGTGTTTTTATAGGTGCCTTAATACTCGCACACCCACGCCCTAAATTCACAGTTGAATTTGGCACATTCCATGATGAAATGACCTGCATGGCACATCACACAAGGCAGGCATACCTTCAGGTGTTTTCTCAGGTGGAATTACTAGTGATTTGTCAGGTGGATTTCCAGGTAGATTCTCAGGTGGATTTCGATCCCCGTCCTTTGCTGCCACATCAGCATCGCCCTCATTATAGTCACACTTAACATGAGGAGCATTAATCAGGGAACATTCCCCAAATCTTGCCTTCCCCTCTCCCTTTGGCTCTCCCTTTTCCCCTCCCTTTCTCCCTCCCGTTCGCTCTCCCTTCTGCTCTTCCTTTCCCTCTCCCTCACCCTCGCCCTTTCCCTCTCCCTTTCCCTCTCCCCTTGGCTCTCCCTTTTCCCCTCCCTTTCTCCCTCTTGTTCGCGCTCCCTTCTGCTCTTCCTTTCCCACTCCCTCTCCCTCTCCCTTTCCCTCTCCCTTTCCCTCTCCCTTTCCCTCTCCCTTTCCCTCTCCCTTTCCCTCTCCCTTTCCCTCTCCCTTTCCCTCTCCCTTTCCCTCTCCCTTTTCCTCTCCCTTTCCCTCTCCCTTTTCCTCTTCCTTTCCCTCTCCCTTTCCCTCTCCCTTACCCTCTGCCGCCAGAGTCCCACTACCGCTGTCGCCCCACCCATTTCTTCCTCGCACATCACATTACCCCCTGCACTTGCATCTCTTCCAGTGTTCACACCCATGCCAGCAACACCCACGCGTGACCTTGTCGCATCACCTGCGGCAGCCCCACCCATTTCTTCTTCATACATCATATTAACCCCTGCAATTGCTTCTCTTTCTGGCCTCGCAACCATGCCAGCAACACCCACGTGTGACCTTGCACCAGCTGCCACGTAACCAGTACCTGCCACGTCAGCCTTTTTGCCACATGACACCATCCTACCGCGACCCTCTCGAGCCACCACATCATCAAGCACGCCTTGGCATGCCACGTCAGCAGCAGGTGCACGTGGCATTGTGGTGGTGCAGTGCTGACTCAGCAGCATGAGCGCACTGGAAACAGCTGCCTGCCGCCCCTCATCGTCAGGGAAGGTTCCTGGAAGCAGCGAGTCTCCACCACCCTCCACCTTTGATGCTCCACGCCATTTCCTCTTGCGCTTCCTCCGTCCGTCTGCTGCTGCTGCTGCTGCTGCTGCTGCTGCTGCTGCTTGTGGTAATGGTGCTTCTGGTGGTGCTGTTGGTGCTGCTGGTAATGGTGCTTCTGGTGGTGCTGCTACGTGTGGTGGTGGTGGCGGTGGTGGTGGTGCTGCTGCTGCTACATCTGACACATTTGTGGTTCTTCCAGCTGTTCTTAGGGATGAGTGGTTGCTATCTGTCGATTGGGGGTTGGGAGAACGCACAACCGCCTCGCCCTTTACAATCACCTCCACTTCCACCACACCCCCTTCACCCACACCCCCTTCAGTCACACCCACTTCCACCACACCCCCTTCAATCATGCCCCCTTCAGTCACGCCCCCTTCAGTCACACCTGCATCATCACGAATACACCGAGCAGCACGAATGCTAGTAAACACTGCTGCTGCCGTTTGTGCTGCTGCTGTTGCTGCTTGTGCTGGTGCTGTTTCAGTCACACCCACTTCAGTCACAACCCCTTCAGTCACACCCCCTTCAGTCACACCTGCATCATCACGACTACACCGAGCGGCACGACTGCTAGACACTGCTGCTGCTGTTTGTGCTGCTGCTGCCGTTTGTGCTGCTGCTGTTGCTGCTGATGGTGCTGCTGGTGGTGATGGTGGTGGTGCTGTTGGTGGTGATGGTGGTGGTGATGGTGGTGGTGCTAATTGCAGTGCTTCTGATGTTGATGGTTTTGCTTGATAAGCTTTTCTTCGAGGCGGCCCAAAAGCATTCTTTGATGCTCCTGGTGCTGTTGCAACTGCCTCTGCCACCACTCCCCACAGCCCACCTGCTACTGAGCCAGCTTGCATTCGAGTTCCCAATGCTCCCACAGCTGAGCCTTCACCTGCTGATCCTCCCCCTTCTGCTGCTGCTGCTGCTGCTGCTGCTGCTGCTGCTAATTCCCTCTTTGCTCGTGCTGTTACCTTTGTTCCACAAACGTGTGTTGGATCTTTAAATCCACCCGCACTTGCTTCTGCTGCTCCTGCTGCTGCTCCTGCTGCAGTTGGTGGTGGTGCCGCTGCTGCTGGCTGTGCTGCTTTTTGTGGTGGCAGGGGCGATGGATCGGCTGCCACACCCAATGCAGCATCACCAGCAGAACCACCAGCATTATCACCTGCTGCTGCTGCTGCTCCTGCTGCAGTTGATGGTGGTGCTGCTGCTGGTTGTGTTGCGTCTTGTGGTGGCAGGGGCGATGGATCGGCTGCCACACCCAATGCAGCATCACCAGTAGAACCACCAGCACCATCACCTGCTGCTGCTGCTTCTGCTGCTCCTGCTGCTGCTCCTGCTGCAGTTGATGGTGGTGCCGCTGCTGCTGGCTGTGCTGCTTTTTGTGGTGGCAGGGGCGATGGATCGGCTGCCACACCCAATGCAGCATCACCAGCAGAACCACCAGCACCATCACCTGCTGCTGCTGCTTCTGCTGCTCCTGCTGCTGCTCCTGCTGCAGTTGATGGTGGTGCCGCTGCTGCTGGCTGTGCTGCTTTTTGTGGTGGCAGGGGCGATGGATCGGCTGCCACACCCAATGCAGCATCACCAGCAGAACCACCAGCACCATCACCTGCTGCTGCTGCTGCTCCTGCTGCAGTTGATGGTGGTACAGCTGCTGGCTGTGCTGCTTCTTGTGGTGGCAGGGGCGACAGCTCGGCTGCCACACCCAATGCAGCATCACCAGTAGAACCACCAGCGCCATCACCTGCTGCTGCTGCTGCTGCTCCTGCTGCAGTTGATGGTGGTGCTGCTGCTGGTTGTGTTGCGTCTTGTGGTGGCAAGGGCGATGCTTCTGCTGTAACATCACCTGCAGCATCCCGTTCACGTGCAAGCAGAGCAGCACGGCTGCTAGTCATTGCCAGCATTGGTGGTGGTGCTGCTGCTGCTGATGCTGCTGGTTGTGCTGCTGCTACTTCTGCTCTTAATTCTCCCACTGCCGCGGCTTCTGCTCTCTGTGCTCCCTTTGCAGCTGATTCTGCAGTTGGAATTTCCACCCCAGCAGCAGCTGCAGCAGCAGGAGCAGAGGCTGTTTCCCCCCTCCCTTTCTCCGCTTGATCCTGCTTTCTCTCCCTTTCCTTCCTCGCTTCTGTCTCCTTCTCCTTCTTTTTCTCTCTCCCCCTGGTTTCTTTTGCCTCGTGTGTCTCATCCAACTCCTCCCACTTATCCCTCTCCCACTTATCTCTCTCCTCCCTTTCCTCCCTCTTATCCCTCTTCTCCCTCTCCTCCCTCTTCTTCCTCTCCTCCCTCTCTTCCGTCTCTTCCCTCTCCTCCCTCTCCTTCCTCTCCTTCCTCCCCTTCCCCTCCTCCCTCTCCTTTCTCTCCACCCTCTCCTTTTTCTCCTCCTTCTCCTTTCTCTCCTTCCTCTCCTCCCTCTCCTTCCCCTCGTCCATCTCCTTTCTCTCCTCCCTCTCATTTCTCTCCTTCCTCTCCTCCCTCTCCTTCCCCTCGTCCATCTCTTTCCTCTCCTCCCTCTCCTTCTCTTTCATCTCCTCCCTCTCCTTCTCTTTCCTCTCCTCCCTCTCCTCCCTCTCCGCCCTCTCCTCCCTCTCCGCCCTCTCCTTCACCTTCCACTGCCTCACACGTCTCTTACCCCTTTCAGCCTCGCTGCCCTGCTCACACTTTCTCCACTTCCTCTTCCCTTTTGTGGCTCCGCTTCCTCCCGCGCTTCCTCCCGCGCTTCCTCCCGCGCTTCCTCCCGCGCTTCCTCTCTCTCCTCCACTCTCTCCTCCTCTCTCTCCTCCATCCTCTCCTCCATTCTCTCCTCCATTCTCTCCTCCATTCTCTCCTCCTCCTCCGCTCCCTTCTCCTGCCTCTATTCCTCCAGCTTCTTCTCTGCTACAGTTCCCCCTTCCCTCCCCTCCCTGCACCCCCTCCTCCACACCCTCCTTCCCCACTTCCTCCCTCCCTTCTGTCCCCTCCTCCTTCCCCTTTTCCTTCCCCTCCTCCTCCTCCTCCCCCTCCTCCCCCTCCTCCTCCTCCTCCTCCTCCTCCTCCTCCTCCTCCTCCTCCTCCTCCTCCTCCTCCTCCTCCTCTTCCACCCCCTCCTCCTCCTCGTCCTCCTCCCCCCTCTCTGCCTTTCCTGCTGCCGACCCTTTCTTTGCTGCCGGCAATATTTCCACTGCTGACGCTTTTCTAGCTGCAGCCGCCATTTCCTCTTTCCCCTCTGCCTTCCCCTCTGCCTTGCCCTCTGCCTTCCCCTCTGCCTTGCCCTCTGCCTTTCCTGCTGCTGACACTTCTCTTGCTGCTGCCGGCAATATTTCTACTGCTGACGCTTTTCTAGCTGCAGCCGCCATTCTTGCATTTGCCAACTTTGTCACCACTGACACGTTCTTTCCTGCGGCCTTCTTTGGATTGCACTTTCCAATCGCCTTCGCATCCGCTTCATTGCTCCAGTTGCTTGCCGCAGCACTGCCTGCGGCAGCATTCCCTGCTTCCACATTGCTTGCAGCACCACTTGCAGCACCACCTGCAACACTACTGCCTGCTGCCCTGTCCCTTCCCCGCAACCGCCCTGCCCACCCAGCACCATCACTCCTTCCCTCCTCTTTCCCATCCTTTTGATCCCACTTAGCATTTCCTTTCCCTTTCCCCTTCCCCTTACCCTTACCCTTCCCCTTACCCTTCCCCTTCTCCTTACCCTTCCCCTTCCCCTGCATTTTGTTCCCCCAGCGCCCCTTCCCCCCACTCCCTTTCCCCCAACCTCCCTTTCCCCCAATCCCCTTCCCCACACTCCCCTTCCCTGCAACCCCTTTCTTCTTGTACTTCTTCCTCCACCATACGACCCTCTTCCTCACTGCTGACGTGGCACTGAGCAGCTCCCTCACACTCCGCGCTCTCCCCCACTTCCTCCTCACTCCCTCTCCTGCTACCCACTCCTCCTCCTCCTCAGGTCCGTCCAAAGCTCGCCACCACCAGGAGGAATCTTCCTCGCGCTTTCTCTTCCTTGTCGTTTTGCCTCCTCCATCCCTCTCCCCCTCCGACTCCTCCTCTTCTTCTTCCTCTTTATTGCACCCCTGCGCATCCCCTTCCTTGTTTTCTTCCTTCCTTTCTCCGCCTTCCTTCTCTCCCCCCTGATTCTCCCCTTTCCCCTGTTCTCCCTCATTTTGCTTCCCCTCCTCTTGCTTTCCCTCCTCCTGCTTCCCCAGCCCCTGCAACAACCCCCTACTCTTCTCCATCTCCTTTTCTTCATCTTCTGTCTCCTCTCCCTCCCCCTTCCCCTCCTCCCGTTCCAATCCCCTCTTATTCCCGTCTTCCTTCTCCTCCCCTCCCTGCTCTCGCTCCTGCTTCTCTTTTTCTCGCTCCACCTCCCCATTTCGTGCCCGCCCAGAAACGAAGCCCGTCTGCTTTTGAGTCGACTCAAAACCAGAAACGAAGCCCGTCGTACCCTCTGATCCTTTCTCCATCCTTTCCTCCTTCCCCACCTCCGCCTCCTTCCCCTCCTTCTCCTTCCCTTGCTCCTCCTTACTCTCCTCCTCTTTTCGTTCCTTCTCATCGTGCCCTTCCGCCTCCTTCCCCTCCTTCTCCTTCCCTTGCTCCTCCTTCCTCTCCTCCTCTTTTCGTTCCTTCCCATTGTTTCCTTCCGTATTCTTCCGCTCATCCTGCCCTTCCCCATTTTCCTCCTCCTCCTCCCCCTCGTTCTCCTCTCCTTCCTCGCCTCTTCCCGCACCTCCCCTCTTATCCCTTCCGTCTAAGTCAACGCCTCCTCCCTCATCCCTTCGATCCAACCCTTCACATTTCCCACACGCTGAAACACCACCACCCACTCCTTCCCGTCCTCTATCCCTCACCTCCGCCGCACCAACCTTTCCCCCCCCTCCCCCCACACCTCCCTGCTGCAACCGCTCCTGCTGCTTGCAATCAACCCCCTCCCTCTCCTCTGCTGCTCCTACCCTAGCACCGAGAGCATCACTAAGAATCGTCCCCAGACTTTGACTGAAATTTTCACCTGCCCGATCTCTCTGACCATTACCCGAACCACTATCCAAGCCATTATCCGAACCACCACCCGGACCACCACCCGGACCACCACCAAGACACGTGCCTTGCTGGGCACTTAGCTGAGTGTAAGTGCTAGAATTTTTTTCTCCCTGCTCTGAATTTAGCGTCACACCAACGCCTTCATCTCGAACTACACTTACTAGCCGATCAGTGCCAGATTGAGCTGCTCCGACACTTAGCTGAGCGACGGCACCTTGCTCCAGACTGACTCTTAATTCCGCAGTGACGCCGTGGGCTGGAATAGCACTTAGCTGAGCAACGACACCCTCAGCAACACTTTGCCCCTGACTGACGTTCAGCTGAGCTGTGATACTTTGAGCTAGACTGGCGCTTAGCTGAGCATTGACACCATTCTTATTGGCGCTTAGCTGAGCAACTACTTCCTCCACGCTCCTACGCTTTTTCACCTTCTTTGAAACTCCAACCCCAGCAGTCCGCGACATCCCCTCCCTCTCTCCACAAGCCTCTCCCTCAATCAATACGCTCTTCTCAAGCCTAGTATCACCGAAGCTCGTGCCGAGCCTAGAATCACTGAAGCTCGTGCCGAGCCTAAAATCACCGAAGCTCGTGCCAAGCGTAGAATCGCCGAAGCTCGTGCTGAGCTTAGGATCACCGAAGCTCGTGTCACTTGGCCACAGCCTATGCAGCCGGTTTTCAGGCCGATCCTGCCCCTCGGCAGCAGCAGCAACTCCTCGCGCACAGAACCGGTGAGATAACTTCTGAGATGACTCAGAAGGAAGCCGGTTCTCAAGCGGGTCGTGCCCCTCAGCACTGGCAGCAACCCCCCTCGCACAGACTAGGTGAGGCTTCCCCTTTCGCTTCTTTTGAGGAGCCTCAAACGTCTGGCCCTCAGCAGTAGCGGCACCTCCCCCTGCACAGTACTGGTGGGGCTTCCCCTTTCGCTTCTTTGCACCTCTTCTCTCCACACTCCCTCTCTCCTCCCCAATCTTCTCCCAATCTTGCCCCCCATTCGCTCTCTTCTTCCCCTTCTTCCCCTTCGCTCCTTTCTTTCCTTTCCCCACCTTCTTCCCCTTCCCCCCCGTCTTACCCTTCCCCGCCTTCTTCTCCTTCTCCCCATTCTCCTCCTCCGGCCATTTACCCGCCTTCACCTCCCCTTTTCCCTTCCCCACGCCGCCGTCTATCCCCTCCCTTTTGCTTACCTCGTTAAGAGGATACCACCAGTCCACAATGGCCCCATCATTGCTCTTTTTCGCGCAAGGGAAGGATGGAGCGGAAAAATCGGCGGAAGCGGGGGCGGGGGGAAGAGGATCGGCGGACTCCGGCGCCAGGTGCGCGGAGGCGGCGGCAGAGGGGGTGTTTGGGAGAAAAACGTGCGCGCCCGGCGCTTGCAGCCGCTGGAGTAAGACTTTCGCGAATGCCATTTGCGACGAGTCCTGCGAGTGGCAATGCGTCTCCTGCGACTGGTCATGCGACCATGAGAGAGAAAATGATGAGTCTAGCTGCGGCAAACAGGTTGCTTGCATCGGATCAGCTCTTAGCGATCCACCACTGTCGCCCTGAGGCGAAAGCATCGTGATCCCTGATTTTGAGGTAATTTCAAACCGGCTTTTGTGACGTCTCATAGAAATGAATGCCTGTGACACCAGCAGCTGGTTACATCGCAACAAATGCCGCAAAATCACTCTCCACCATGCCTTTGGTGGCTGCGTGACCAGAGTAAAAGTATATATTATTTTAGAAGTGAACACCCTAGTAACATACACAAGTGGTACGGCAATCCCAAGGGTGACGTGGTTGGTCAGTGGTCTCGTCTGTCTCGATTCTTGTGCGTGCCAGAAGGGAGAAGATCATACAGGGGCCGAACAGTGCCAGAGGGGTGATCGACCAGGGGCTGAGAGGCCCGGAAATTACCAAACCGCTTCACAAAAAGGAATTAACAGAGAGTCTTCATTTATTGCACGTAATTATTTTACTTGTGGCATGTACCGGCTCGCATTTTCGCTCGCGTGTCGTTTAGCGAGCCGACTCTACCGGGAACTCTAGGGCAGCAAAAAAAACTAAAACTCATTGGGAACCTGGATGCAATTTCGGGATGGATAAACCCTGAAAAATGGACCTTCCTGGTATTTAGGCTTGATCCCTCCCGAGTCGTATCCGTTTCCGAATGGGTAATATTTTTGGAGTTTAGAGTTTCCTATTGGGTAGGTGGTATGCATCACCCAGAATATATTATGCTGTTACGTAATCACGATTTGACACGCCGAATTCGATTCCAGAAGAAGGCGACGCGCGCGCTGTAGTAGGCGGCGGTCAAAACCCTCAATAAACAAATACGAACACAAAATTAGGTTTCTTTTAGCAATTATCTTTTACTTATGGTTCGGCTTGTTTGCCGAGTCGTTTGGTCAGCTCCGGGTTGAAAACCTATTGTCGAGATTTTCCGGCCCTACTTTGATCACCCTTCTGGCACTGTTCGGCCCCAATATGATCTTTTCCCGTGCCAGATTCGTCTTTTTTGGGTCTCCAGGCTACACCGCCTACATTCAAACCCAGGCGACGAGTCAAGCTGGGCAGGCGACTGATTCTGGTTCACGCGCGAATGGCAGGAGATTGGTTGGTGTGAATGCAAATGCGATATTGGCTGTTCGAACCACCACACCAGTTTAAGGAAAGAGCAACTTTCTGTCCATGATTAGGAAGAACACCCTAATTCTATATTCTCTTTGTTAAGATCGTGATTCATGTTGTAGCAGGCAAATATGTGAGCTACAAAAGTATTTCATGCAAAAAAAATATAGCCGTTTGTAACATTTTCAAGCCCAACCAAATTATATTTGAAACTGCTAATAAGGAAATGCACAAAAATTGCATCTGGCACAACGAGGGGTTGTGCCAAGCTACCATGCATGTACACTACGGTAATCACCCTCTCACTATAGAGTACGAAAGACTAAACATCTCCTAGCCTGCACGGCACAGGGAAAATGGGGAGGGAGGGGTGGGAAGAATGGGGAAGAGGGGAAGATGAATGGAAGTGACAAGAGAGAAGGTGACAAATACCACATACAGCCACAATGGTGATGTGTGACAATGGTGAGTGTGATTGTGAGGGCGAGTGTGGGCACAAGTGTGAGTGCGAGTGCGTACATGCACCTCAGAAAACTGGGTGTTGCCGTCGTTAGGCGATAACCAAACCATGCCCTTGGATCCACCGCCTATCTTGATGGTCAGGTGTGTGGGTGGTGAGTGTGAGCTGTGAGTGTGGGTGTGCGTGTGCGAGTGAGGTGAGTGTGTGTGAATGTGAGTGTGAGTGCGAATGTGAGTGTGACTGTGAGTGCGAGTGTGAGTGTGAGTGTGAGTGTGAGCATGAGCATGCACTGCAGGAAACTGGGTGTTGCCGTTTTTAGGCAATAGCCACACCTTGCCCTTCAGCCCACTCCCTATCTCGATGGTGAGGTGTGAGAGTGGTGGTGAGTGCGAGTGGTGTATGTGCGTGTGAGAGCGAGCTGAGTATGAGAGAGCACTAACCTCAGGGAACTGCATGTTGCCATCTCCAGGCAACAGCCGCACCATGCCCTTGGGTCCGTTGCCTATCTTGATGGTCAGATGTGAGATTGGTGAGTGTGAGTGTGCTTGTGATTGTGCTTGTGAGTGAGTGGTGACTGTGAGAAGCACTAACCTCAGGGAACTGGTATTCTTTTGAGGCGCCTCAAAAGCTGAGCATGAGAGAGCACTAACCTCAGGGAACTGTGTGTTTCCATCTCCAGGCGACAGCCGCACCATGCCCTTGGGCCCACTGCCTATCTTGATGGTAAGGGTTGACAGGTGCACTGTGAAGCATGCCCCGCTGTATGCCTGATGGGGGGTAGGAAGGGGGAAGGGGGGTAGCAGGGGGGAAGAGGTCCATGCTCAGGGTCGCACCATACGCTTGGGTTGGGTCGCTGCCTCTCTTGATGGTGAGTGTTGACAGGTGCACCGTGAAGCACGCCCCGCTGTATGCCTGATGGGCAATGGAGAGGAAGAGGGGGAGGAAGAGGGAGGAGGGGAAGGGGTGAGGGAAGGGCGTTGGTGAGTTATGACAGGTGCACCGTGAAGCATGCCCTGCTGTATGCCTGATGGGGGGTAGGGGAAAAGTAAGGGGGAGGGGTTGATGCATGTTGACAGCTGCACGATGCCCTTAGGCCCGCTGCCAGTCTTTATAAACACACACACATATACGTGCATATATATCACAAAAAACGCCTGTGAAGCACAGCACATGAGTGTACAAGTGTATGGTTTGATTTACTCTTGGGAATCACAGCACATGACTGTGTAAGCATATGGGTTTGCCAACATGGACGATTTATAGGTTTAGGGTGGTGGTGATGGTGAGCAGAGTGAGTGGTGGTGAGCAGAGTAAGTCATCCTTGATTTGCACCCACTCACTCACGCACTCACTTACGGGTGTCAATTGAGGCTCACACTCTCTCACTCTCACTCACTCACTCACTCACTCACTCTCTCCTTCACTCACCGGTATCCGTTTGACATTTAGGGTGGTGGTGGCGAGGCGAATGGAAGGGCAGGGAGGGATGGTGGGCAGGGTGGTGTGAGCCAGTCACAATTGTGCAGGCCTGACTGTGTGATTGCTGCACTCACTCACCGGTATCCGTTTGACGTTCAGGGTGGTGGTGGCGAGGCGAATGGAAGGGCAGGGAGGGATGAGGGGTTTCTTGGGGTTGCGTGTTGCGGAGGGAGGCACGACCACAAAGGCAGGGCACTTGCGTAGCTTCATCTGCAAGGGAAGGGAGGGAGAGGAGGGGCAGAGAGGGGTGGGATTGGAGTGAAGCAAGGGGTGAAGGAGGTACGACCACAAAGGCAGGGCACTTACATAGCTTCATCTGCAAGGGAAGGGAGTGAGAGGAGGGGCAGACAAGGAAGTGAGGGATGGAAGGGCAGGGTGGGTTTAATTTGAACGAGGGAGGGAGCGGAGGGGCAGAGAGGAAAGTGAGGGATGGAAGGGCAGGGTGGGATGTTGGGCGTCTTGGGGTTGTGTGTGATGGAGTGGAGGACGGCAGGACCATCAAGGCAGGGCACTTGCATAAGGTTCTTAATGGTTAGGGTGCACGTTTATATATTTATATATATATATATATATATGTATATAAATGTGTGGTGAGAGTGGGTGCTCACATACGGAATGGTGGGAGTGTGTGGGTTCTCACATTGAGAAAGTTGACCGCTTTGCACCCTGGCTTCAGAGTCCCCGCCAGCACTGACAGACTCAAGGCACCTTGGGTAGTGAGACGGTGCGCACTGAGTGGGCGCTCTTCGAGTGGTGAGAATGGGTGCTGTGGGAGTGTGTGGGGTCTCACATTGAGAAAGTTGACCGCTTTGCACTCTGGCTTCAGAGTCCCTGCCAGCACCGGCGCCACTTTCTTCCTGCAAGGGGGAGTGGGGAAGACAGGACAGGCAGGTCAGGAGGCGGGAGGTGGGAGGAGGCGGACGGGAGGGGAAAGGTGGGGGTAGGAGGACGGGAGGGTTTAATGGCTAGAGAGAGAAAGAGGACTCGGCATCCCTGCCAGCACTGGCGCCGCTTTTTTGCTGCTTGGAAGGATGGAAAGGGGGGGACGGAAGGGGGAGGATGGGAGGGGGGAACGGAAGGGGAAGGATGGGAAGGAGAGAACGGGAGGGGGAGGATGGGGGAAGCCAGAAGGCAGGGGAAATCACGTGGGCATGGGTGCAAGCACGTGGGTATGGGTGCAAGCACGTGGGTATGGGTGCAAGCACGTGGGTATGGGTGCAAGCACGTGGGTATGGGTGCAAGCACGTGGGTATGGGTGCAAGCACGTGGGCATGGGTGCAAGCACGTGGGTCTCACATGAAGGGCAAGTTGGGAAGCCTGGTTAGGAGTCGATTGGGTAGGTGAAGCACAGGCATGGGGTACAATGCATGGGGTACAAGGCATGGGGTGCAGGGCAAGGCATGGGGTACAAGGCATGGGATGCCAGCTCGTATCTGTGCAATACACGTTGCGTGAAAAGCGCGTTTGGGAGCATAGAGACGAGTGCTACAGGCACACGCACACGCACACGCATGTACTAGCACAAGGAGGAGGGGGGCAAGTTACAAGCACGTATCTGTGCAATAGGCCCTGTGTGAAGGGCACGTGGGGAAGCATAGAGACAAGCAGGGCGACAGGGAGGGAACAAGCACAAGGTGCACGGGGACTGGCACAAGCACGGGCACGGACAGCAGGTATGGGGTGCAAGCACGTACCTGTGCAATACGCCCTGTGTGAAGGGCGCGTTGGGGAGCATGGAGACGAGTGCTACAAGCACTCCCACAAGCATATACTAGCACAGGGAGGAGGGGGGAGAGTTACAAGCACGTACCTGTGCAATACGCCCTGTGTGAAGGGCACGTTGGGGAGCATAGAGACGAGCAGAGTGACAGGGACGCGGGGGGGGGGGGGGGGGGGGGGGGCAGGGGGGGAAGGCTGCAAGCACGTACCTGTGCAATACGCCCTGTGTGAAGGGCACGTTGGGGAGCATGGAGACGAGCAGGGCGACAGGGACGAAGCCAAGGCTGTTGTTGAATGAGAGGTCGCACTTCTGGTAGGCGGAGAGATTGGGGGGGGGATTAGGAGAGATTGGGGGGGGGATTAGGAGAGATTGGGGGGGGGATTAGGAGAGATTGGGGGGGGGATAAGGAGATATTGGGGGGGGGATTAGGAGATATTTGGGGGGGGATTAGGAGAGAGTTCTCTGAGGTGACAGCGAGACTAGGGTGAATCCGAGAGCAGTGGGGGAGAGAGCAGGGCGACAGGCACGAAGCCAAGGCTGTTGTTGAAGGAGAGGTCGCACTCTGGTGGGCGGAGATGACGAGAGGGGGTGACATGGGGAGACGGTGTTTTGTGGGGAGGTGCGTTGAGGTGAGAAACAGGGCGACAGGCACGAAGCCAAGGCTGTTGTTGAAGGAGAGGTCGCACTTCTGGTGGGCGGAGAGGGGTGCAGGTGGGAAGAGCGAAAGGGGAGGTGCGGGGAGATTGGGGGGATAGTGCGTTGAGGTGACGAGCAGGGCGACAGGGACGAAGGCGAGGCTGTTTTGAAACGAGAGATTGCACTTCTGGTGTGGAGAGAGGGAGAGGGGGAGAAGGGGGGATGGCGGGGAGAGAGGAGGAGGGGTACGGGGAGACTGAGGGAGCGTGTGAGGTGATAATTAGGGCGACAGGGACGAAGCCGGGACTTTGAGACGTCTCAAAACCCTTCTTCAAACACGAGAGAGGAGGAGGGGTACGGGGAGACTGAGGGAGCGTGCGAGGTGATAATCAGGGCGACAGGGACGAAGCCGGGACTGTTGTTGATGAGAGATCGCACTCGTGGAGGGAGGGAGAGGGGTGCGAGGAAATTGGGGGAGAGGAGGGGCGTTGGGGGAGAGGAGGGGCGTGGGAATTGGGGGAGAGTGATACGGGGGTGGGTGGGGGGGGGGGGGGGGGGGAGGGGGATGCGGGGGGGTTGGGGGAGGGACGCGGGGGAAGTTTGGGGGGGGGGGATGCGGGGAGAAGGCTGGGGGAGAGTTTCAAGAATTTTAGAAAGTGAAAGGAGGATGAGAGGGGGAGAGGGGAGAGGGGGAGAGGGGAGAGGGGAGAGGGGGAGAGGGGGAGAGGGGGAGAGGGGAGAGGGGGAGATGGGGAGAGGGGCGATGGAGGGAGGTTGAAACTGAAAGGATGCATGAGAAAGCCCCAAACCCTTGGGCACGAAACAAACCCCTTCAATGCACCATGCCCCATCCACTCAAACTCCCATCCATCCAATAACCCACCCCCTCATCCACCCACCCCCTCATCCACCCACCAGGCTGGAGAGGAAGCACGAGGCGGGCAGCAGCGAGAGAGCCGTCGCTCGCCCCAACGATGGAGTTAAGCGCGCCGCCATGGCTGGCCGGCAGACGGGTGAGAGAGAGTTGGATGCGAGGAGGAGGAAGAGGAGGAGGAGGCGGTGGAGGGAGGGGGGGAAGAGGGAGGGGATGTTGATGGAGTAGCAGTGCTGTACACGTTGCTCCGGGATTCTCAAACCACGCTTGCCGTGTGAGAGAGAGGAGAGGAAGAGGAGGAGGGGAAAGAGCGGGAGGTGGAAAAGGGGGAGGAGGGAGTGGGAGAGGAGGGGGAGGACTCGGGATGATGGGAGGTGATAATCGTCGCAATGATTGGGACTGCAGCGAAGGTGATTGTGGCGGCGCGGGCCATGCGTCTCCTGCTGACGTGGACGCGAATGATGACGGGGATGCTGACGTGGATGCTGACGTGGATGTTGACGTGGATGCTGACGTGGATGCGAACACGGGCAGCGAGCTCCTCTGTGTCTGCACCGATTCAACGTCTCGTCCGTCACCGAAATATTCTCCCTTTGCTGTGCTTCTGCCAGATGTGGTTCTAGCGAAAGACCGACCAGGTTAGAGCAGATGTAACCGTCACGCGCTTCGACGGTTGCTGACGTGGAAGGCGAGACCCGCCCGCCTTCTGCTGCTGCTGCCGAGGGATGCGCCGCATCTGGCGGCGGCGTCTGCACGCGAGGATCTTGCGGCGGCGCGGCGTTGCAATTGCCTATGCCGCAAAGCCCTTCCGGCCCAACTAGGCTACTACTACCATAGTGCCGCGCTATACAGTCTGGTGGTAATTCTGGAATCGGCTCGCCGTCCAGCCTATTACTAGTACTATCATTATGATCCTTAATCCGGCACTTCGTCTCTATCTCCTCCGCCGAAGACGCCGCGCCTCGCGAGTCTGCTATGGCACCTCGCGTGAAGACGGAGGTCGCAAATAAAGTCGTGTCCTGCCGAATATGCATAACTACTAACTACCAATAATAGTAGTACTATGTTAATCTGGCAGTCATAAAGTTTTTCATCCGATACTAGGTAATCAGCCAATCAGGTAGTGCTACTGCTCTACATGTAAACAAGACCAAGAGTCGTCGTCAGCCCGCCGTTACCAAAATTATGAACGAAACTGTCAAATTTGGTATATGCCCTTGAACAATGGGATTGAAGAGATCACCTTTGCCGCGCCTCGCGACTTGTACTATCACTAAATGCTAACGAAGAAAGACGGTGACGATTTTATTGTATCTTCTTTCTCAGGGTATTGCGTCCAGGTTCAGGTGGGAGTGAGTGTGGCGTGTCACAGACTGGAAGCAGGGCGTTTCTAAAGAGCGCGGTCAGAGGTGTGTCGCGCTTGGTAGGAAGAAGCCAAAGATAGCAAGAGGGACGACAAAATAGTACCCCTGTCAGTCACAGACCATTCTAGAAAACACCTCGAAAATGCGGTGAGAGGGACACTGGAGGAAGAACGGGAGCCAAGCCGAGTTAATCCAAACCGACGTGACGTCACGTCACATGCTACTACAGCTTCAAATAAGCCTCGTCTTAGTGTTTCTGGTCGGGCCTCAGATATTGCCGAGTGGAGCGGTTCGGAAGAAAAGGACGGCGCGGAGAAGAGGAGCTGGCTCGGGAGAATAGGAAGACGTGAGTTGAAAACGAGGGTGAGGGGGGGACGCGGAGGGCAGGCAAGTCCCGACCCCAATATGGCAGGTGCTAGCCAGCCAGGATTAGGAGGACGGGATGGAAAGTTGCAGGGATATTGGGGAGCAGGATTAGGAGACACACTAAGTGCTGCTAAGTGCAAGGGCGACCGCCAATAAGTGAATAAACTTAGTGGCACACGTCGGGTTGCGGTTTCAGTCAGGTTTTGCAATGCTACCCATGGAACAGGCCATGAAAACATCAGGGTGCGTGGATTCCTCTCGGCGTGAAACTTGAAAAGTTCATCGTCGAAACCGTTTTCTTCCGCAACCCATGGCGTTTGTCAACATGTTGGGTACAGGCCTGTCGATTGACGGGCATATGCCCTTAATGCCCTGAACATTAAGGGCTAGTTTCGCTCCAGCTCCAATGCGTCAAGTTTTTGTTTCGCACCCCACCCGTGCCACTAAGTGCTTCATTCGACCCTTGCCCGGATGCGTTAAGGGACGAAACCAGGCCTTCCCCTTTATCTAAGTTTTGGTTTCAGATCGTAGGACCCCCCCCCCCCCTCCCCCCCCTCTTTCTCCTTAGCCTGCACTAGAGCGCGCCAAGGGGATTTTTCCCTTAGCGTTTTGTAGCCAATCCCGTGTGTGTAGCGTGTCTCTCAGTCAGCCTAGGAGCACCCGCACATTCCCTTAGCGTCCAATACGAGCTGGCCGCAGTGTACAGCTGTGACACATGGGATTATCTTGGGTAAATCTGGCTAAGTTGTTTGGCCACAGAGACATCTAAGACACTAAACCACAGCACGTCAAAGGAACTGAAGCACTCCAGCGCAGCAGCTCCCTCCCTCACCACCTTCGTTCGTGCGAGCCACGATTCCTCTCCACCACCATGCAATCCATCCACCACCACATCCCACCCATGTTTTCTCTTCCGCACCGTCCCACCACCTCCACGGTATCATCCACCCAAGCCCTCAGCTCTCCCCTCCCTTCTCGTACGTGCCATGCTATGGCACTTCTCCTCCACCCAACCACTCTGCCGAGTAAACCTCGCGTCGCCTAGCTCACGCACGCGATGTTTATAGTATGGGTAGCTAACCCGTTCGCTTCGTCAGCCACATTCTCCCACAATGGATCCTAGCGAGGGTGAAACCCCTCCTCCAGTTTTGCCCATGTCGAACATTAGTCATTCTCATACTACGACCGAGACCGAGCCTTACGTACCCTCGGATGCTGAAGACATGCTAGACGTAGCAATCTCAGTGTTGGACCCGCGCCTCGCCCAGCAAGCATCATCGTCACAGACTACACCTCTGTCAGCAGCCCGCTACCGTCAGGTTCACCTTAGCTTCGCAAGTCCGCCACCAGATTCGCGAAAGCGCGCACGAAGCGTACCGCCTCCACCCACTGCTGAGGAGCTGGAGGCGCAGGACAAGGCTATCGCCGAGGATGCAGAAGTGCCCCCGGACACCGAGATCCCTGCTGCTGAGAAAGGTATGGCACGTCGCTTCAGCCCGTCGTGGAAGCAGACGTACTCGTGGCTGACACTGAAGTACAACAAAGAGGAGCGCCTGTATGGTATGAAGTGTTCCGTGTGCTGTAAGTTCGCTCCTAACACCAAGTCTCCCTTTGGCGGTGCTGGCGTCGGTGCAAGGGACTTTCAGAAGTCGGCGTGCCGCAACCATGACCAGTCCAAGGTGCACCTCGCGGCCATGGAAGCAGAACGACTCGCTGCTGGCACGGAGGTGAGGCAGCGCAGCCTCGTGAACATGCTCAGCGGCGATCCAGTCATGGCGAGGGTCGTCAAATGCATGCAAGCAGCTCAGTGGATTGCGCAGAACGATGCACCGATCGCTCTCTACCCCATGCTGGTGCGGTTCATGGCGGAGCAAGGATGCCCCGACATGATGAACAGCGAATCCTACGGGCGTTATTACTCGCGGTAAGTGTTTGTTACCCTCTGGTTCTGCACCTAATGTCCTGCTGTTTCTTCTCTTCGTTGCCTCTGTATTTTCGTACTTGTGCTTGTGTTATACTGTGAGTAACGTACATTTGGTGCTCATTGCAGATACGCCTTCGGCGAGTTCGTAGAGGCTATGGCGGAGCATCTGGTGGCCAGGCAGCTCGTGGACGTCAAAGAGTCGGCCTGGTACAGCCTCTCCTTCGATGAATCCACGGATCGCGCCCGCGGAAAGCACCTCATCGTGTATGTCACGTTTGAGAGAGGCGAGGCCGTGGTGTCCCAGTTTCTTGCTCTCCTGTCGCTCGAGCGTTGCGACGCCGCTGCACTGTACGACACGATCGTGAAGTGCCTGTGGTCGAAGGACATGTCGATGGACAAGCTTGTCGGGGTTTCAACGGATGGTGCATCCGTCATGACTGGCTCGAAGAACGGAGTTGTCGCCCTGCTTCGGAAACGTTGCCCGTGGCTGGTGGCGATTCACTGCGTGGCGCATCGGTAAGGTTGCACTGCAATGTCCTGTTATCTTATTACCGTCGCCATACGTACTCACGAACCTGTCGTGCTTGTGCAGCGAGGCATTGGCTGCAAAGGATGCCGCGAAGAGCTTCAAGGAGTTCAACGTCGTCGATCAAATGATACGCCAGACTGCCGAGCGTCTCGGGCGTTCATCGACCGATCACAAGACCTACATGCATCTCCAGGACGTCATTCTGAAGACGCACCTGGAGGTGCAAGGCTTCTGCACCGTCCGTTGGCTGTCTCGCGGAGATGCTGTGAATCGCTTCTGCGACGTGCTGCCGGTGCTGATGTGGATGTGGACGAAGGAGAAGGACGGGATGGAGAAACTCGCTACCAGCTTCAAGTTCCACTACATGCTTTACCTCCTGGCTGACGTGCTGCAGCTGCTCAACGGACTCAATCTTGCCTTCCAGAAGCAGACGGTAAGATTGACATGAACATGTACTAGGCGCTTCTTCTCTTAAGTGCTTGGTTCTAATGTTTTCCCGCTCCGTTTGATTTCAGGTCGACATCACAGAGGTGAAGAATCACGTCGACAAGGTGAAGACCAAGCTGTCGCAGTACTACGTCGAGCCCAGCGCATCCTACGGGCCGAACACCTCTCGCCTGAACAAGTTCCTTGCTGCACACGGCAGCAAGGACAAGCGCAAGATGGAGCTCAAGGGAGTGGGTGGCGACGGCAAACCTGCAAAAGCCGAGATCGAGCTCCACGAGGACATCATCGACCCTGAAAACCCGGGGGGGGGATGCGACTTGGAGGCCTGCGTGGACCTGGCGCGGCGTTTCGCTCAGCGCCTGATTAAGGCGCTGGGGAAGAGGATGGCGGACCTGCGCCATTTCGATGGTGTTGGGTTTTTCACCCCTGATAAGTATCCCTTCCGTGCAGGAGAGCAGGACACATGGCTGCAGCACCATCTCACCGAGCTCCTGGACATGTTCAAGAACCAGCTACCTGGTAAGCCTAGATTAGTATGAAAGGAACCCACGTATGTTCTAACTTTGTACGTATTATGCTCACACAATGACGTAATCTAACTTTGTATATGTCCTTGACAGGAGTCGCTCTTGCTGACATAGAGCCGCAGATGCGCCTCTTCACAGCCACCATGGAGAAGAAGTTCAAGAAGCAGAGCTTCCATCAGGCTCTCACCAACATGCTGCGCACTGCAGACTGGAAGGATGACTATCCCACCATAGTCTCTCTCTGGCGTGCGGTCTCTGTGTTGCCCCTCAGCACTGTTGAGTGTGAGAGGGGCTTCTCCCGCCAAAACATTATTAAGTCGTGGGATCGTGTTGCTCTTACTGATGTTAGGCTGGGGGAGCTGATGACGGTGAAGATGCTAGACTACCCGGTGGACTGGGCAGCGGCCTATGCCTTGTTTGAGGATAAGGGGAGGAAGGGGAGGAAGCCTGCCAACTAGGCTCGCATTGGATGTCGGGTTAGAGTAGAGTAGCTGAGCTCTGCATGCCATATCTGTAGTTAGTGTAGAGAATAAGAACTTTGCAGGCTAGGTAGGTTTTATGACTATTTAAGACATGTGTAGTGTTAGGTGTCTTTGACTTCTAATTTAAGTACATAACAGCACTTATCATAGTAAAATGAAGTGTAAGTGCAAACTTCAAACATGCCCTGATTTCAAGTTCTGACTTTGGGGTGCGCCCGTGACCCTTAAGGGCGCCAAAACGCTCACCTACCCCCAACCAAGGGTCAGATTGGGAGGAGCTGGGGAGCGCAAGTACGAGCCCCAGGAACTTCGACAGGCCTGGTTGGGTACAGGTTTTTGGATTCTCCTCCAGCAGATTGCGCTTAGCCGTGCCAGATCAGGGGCGCACCGAAACCGTAGCCCCGCCGACAAACGGTGAGGGAGGTATACTGAGGTGAAACGGATAACCGTGTACAATCATGTCACCTGATAAAAACGCAGGTATTGTTTTGAATATAGGATTTTATCCGCATAAATTCCTTTCTTTTTCCTCAATGCTCTCTTTACATTCGTCTCCACTTTTAAACACCCGAGCTCCAAAAGCATTTCATGGGTACTAAAGGTATCCACAACTTTCGAGTGTGTCTCTAGAAGGCCCAACTACAGAGCTGGAATTTGTGTGAGAAACACCATTCGTTTGTGTGGATGATTTGAACCAGATAGACGAGGAAGCAAAATGCATCTGCAAGCCCAAAGAAAAAGAATAAGAGGTGGGGAGGGATGAGAGGCAAGAGATGCGAACCAAAAAATAGAAAGCTTTGGTGGAGCAGGCAACAGAGATTCGATTGGGAGGAGAGAGAAAAGGGGAGACTTCAAGCACTGACATACGTAACGCACCCCTTTCCCATCCTCAACCCTCCACCCCCCCTTTCAAGCACGGCCGCTGCTGCTGCAGGGCAATGCACAGCATCACTCATCACCCTCGCCGAAAAACAGCTTCAGCACAGGAGCAGGATAATCAGGTGCGGGCTCTCTAGGAGCAGACCCTTGAACAGCAGAAGTGTTTGGTGCAACTGCTGCTGATGCTGCTGCTGCTGCTGCTGCTGCTGCTGCTGCTGCTGCTGCTGCTGCAGGGCAATGCACAGCATCACTCCTCCTCATCACCCTCGCCGAAAAACAGCTTCAGCACAGGAGCAGGATACTCTAGAGCAGGCTCTCTAGCAGCAGACCCTTGGACAGCAGAAGCGGTTGCAGCAGGAACGTGTGCAGCAGTGTTAGGAACAGGAGTAGGAGAAGCAGGAGGAGCAGGCCTAGGCTGGGGGGCGGCGTTGTGAGGATGAGGAGCTTGGGGAGGTTGAAAGGGGTTGTGAGGGTGATAAGCGTTGTGCATGTCATAAGCGTTGAGATGCTGATAAGCGTTGTGATGTTGATAAGCATTGTGAGGGCGATAAACATTCTGGTGTTGATACGCGTTGTCAGGCTGATAAGTGTTGTGATACTGAGTAGCATTGCGAGATGCACCAGAATCAGGCGGAGGGGGAGCAGTTGGGAATCCATGAAGAAAAGGACAAGGAGCAGCAGCAGCAGCAGCAGCAGTCACGGGTACACAGAAAGCAGGACGGGGAGCATACCATCCTGCATGTGCTACCATAGAAGGCACAGCAGCAGGTGGAGGGAAGGGTGGCGCATGTGGAAAGGCAGTTTGCAAGGCTCCATTTGCTCCATGCGATGACCCAGCAGGCGGACGAGCAGGAGCGGGAAGAAGAGCAGGAGCAGGAGGAGGAGGAGGAGGAGGAGGGGCCAGAGATGAACCAGCAGTGGGACGAGCAGCTACCTCCAAAGATGATAGATATGCAGCCAGGGAAGCTGGAGGAGGGTGGGAAGGAGGCGATGGAGGAAGGGGGGAAGGAGAGGCAGGAGGGAGAGAAGCAGGAGGAGCAGGAGGAGAGGCAGGAGGAGGAGAGGCAGGAGGAGCAGGAGGAGAGGCAGGAGGAGGAGAAGCAGGAGGAGCAGGAGGAGAGGCAGGAGGAGGAGAAGCAGGAGGACGAGGAGGAGAGAAAGGAGGAGAGGCAGGAGGAGAAGGAGGAGCAGGAGCAGTAGCAGCAGCAGCAGCATCAGGAGGAGGAGCAGCAGAAGGAGCTTCAAGAGCTAGTGTGTCTGCTGCCTCACTGGCAACCAGTTTGCACGTCTCAGAAGCAGCAAGCGGGGCAGCAGTAGCAGCAGGCGGGACGGCAGCAGCACCATCTTCAGGAGCTACTGTGTCTGCTGGTTCGCTGGCAACCAGTTTGCACGTCTCAGCCACCTCCTCCATCTCCTCCTCCTCATCATCCCGCCTCATCTTCTCTTCTTGCTGCTGCATCTCTTCTTTAGGCGCCTCAAAAAGACTCTCACCCGCCTCCTCCATCTGCTCCACCTCAGCATCTCGCCTCGTCGTCTCTACTTTCTGCATCTCTTCTAATCGCCTCATCTCCTCTATCCGCCTCACTTCCTCCTCCTGCTGCCTCAACTCCTCAGCTTGCCGCATCTCCTCTTGCCGCCGCATCTCCCGCCGCCGCGCCTTGTACCTTATCCGCTTGCGCTCCTTGCGGCTCAGATGGGAGATATCCACCCCATCCACAATCATGCTCGCCTCATATCGAGCCTCACGTTCGGCCCTCTTTCTCGCCTCCTCGTCCTCTTCCTCTTCTGCAAAGTACCGGCCCGCAACGCGAGGTTTGGTGGCCTGCACACTGCTTTGCAGCAGCACCACACTGTCATTCGCCACAGATGTACCTTCCCCAGGTCTACCTGCCCCACATCCGCCTCCACCACCTAATGGATCATCCCCTCCTTTCACCACCCTACTAGTGCCATCCCCTTCCCCCCCATCCTTTACCTCCCCATATTTACTCACCCCATTTGTGTCCTCCCCAATCCCCGTCCCATGACCCCTTATCTCCCCATCTCCCCCCCCACCATCCCCCACCTCCCCACCTTTCCCCTCTCCACCCCCCTCCGCCTCTGCTCCAGCCTCTGCGCCATCGCCCCCCACTCCCCCGCTCCCCATCCCCTCGCCCCCCTTTGCCACTTTCAGCCTCCTCACAAAGTCTATGAAAGATTTCTTCTTGGGTCGAGCGCCCTGAGCAACCTGCCCGCCAGCCTGCCCGCCAGCCTGCCCGCCAGCCTGCCCGCCGGCCTGCCCGCCAGCCTGCCCGCCAGCCTGCCCGCCGGCCTGCCCGCCAGCAACAGCTGAACTTGGAGAATCATCAGCAGGGCTTGGCACAGCAACACAGGTCCGATCAGCATCGGTGGTTGCAGCAGTACCATCAGCAGGGGCATCAGCAAGAGCATTAGCAGCAGCAGCAGCAGCAGCAGAATCAGCAGCATTAACAGCAACGGCATCAGCATCGGAAGCAGCAGCAGCAGCAGCAGCAGCCTTGGCAGCAGCATCGACAGCATCGGAACTCGCGAGTTCAGTCCCACCACCAGCCTTCCTCTTCTTGTACTTGCCCTTGCTCTTTGCTGCTGGTAAAATTACCTCCACATCAGCTGTTGCCTCTGCTTCCCCCTCTGGAGCCTCTGTTACTTTCTCCACTTCACAGGAGCTAGGAGCATCAGCAGCATCGGTAACAGCAGCAGCTGCTGCAGTACAACTATCAATCTCAGACTCTTCAACAACCTTCCTCCCCTTCTTCTTGCCCTTCCTCTTAGGCGCCTCTGAAACCACCTCCACATCGGCTGCTGCCTCTGCTTCCGCCTCTCGCGCTTCTGAAACCACCTCCACATCAGCAGCAGAACTTTCAAGCCCAGATTCATCACCAGCTTTCCTCTTCTTCTTCTTGCCCTTGCGCTTTGGCTCAGGTGAAACCACCTCCACATCACAGGGGCTTTGAGTATCAGCAGCAGCACCATCGGCAACAGCAGCAGCAGCAGAACTCTCAAGCTCAGACTCGTCACCAGCCTTCCTCTTCCTCTTCTTACCCTTGCTCTTCTGTTCTGAGGCTGCTTCTGCATCCAAGGAGTTTGAAACAGCAGGAGTTTCCGCATCATCATTATCATCATCAGCAGCATCAGCATCGGCAGCAGGCAGCGCAGCAGCCTTCTTCACCTTCTTCTGCTTCTTCCCCTTGCCTTTGCCTCTAGGTGCAGGCGCTGCTTCGGCATCAGAGGGCGTTCCTTCCAAGTCAGGGGGACTTGGGGCAGCAGCAGCTGCTGCTGCAGGGAGAGGAGGAAGAGGAGGAACCGACACTTCAGGTTCAAAAGCCACCCTCCTCTTTTTCTTACCCTTACCCTTGCCCTTTACTGCAGGACCCGGCTCTGCAAGCAAGGGGCTTGAGCCTGCAAGCAAGGGGCTTGAGCCTGTAGTGGCAGCAGCAATAGCAGCAGTAGCAGCAGGAGTGTCAGAAATTCTACTCTCAGGCTCTGGCTGAGGCTCAGGAGCAACTTTCCTTCCCTTCTTACCCTTGCCCTTCTGTGTGCATGAGGCAGGGTGTACACCAGACGACATGGGAGCAGCAACAAGCACCTCCATATCACCATCACGAGCAGCAGTAGCAGCAGCAGCAGCAGTAGCAGCAGCATCATTAGCAGAAGCAGCCACTGCCGCTGCCACAGCTGCCATGACAAACCTCTCCTCCTTTCTCTTCTCTCGCCGCCTCCTCCTCGCCTCTCTCCTCGCCTCTCTCTCGCTCTCTTCGCTCCCTCTCGCCTCAAGTTGTTCCTCCATCTCCTGATCTGCCTCCTCCACCCCTTCTACCCGTTCGTCCTCTTCTCCTTCTTCCTTTTCCTCCTCCTCACCTTCCTCCCTTTCCTCCTCCCCTTCTTTCCTTTCCTCCGCCTCCCCATCCTCCTTCCCTTCCTCTTCCCTTTCATCCCTTTCCTCCTCCTCCCCTTCCTCCTTTTCCTCCTCATGCCTTCGCTTGACCCTTTTCCCTTTCTTCTTCCCTTTATCCTTGCTTTTCTTCCTTCCTCCCTCTTCAGCCATATCCTCCTCCCTGTCCTCCTCACGTCTCTCCTCCTCCCTCTCAACCTTCTGACCTTTCTTCTTCCCAATCTTCTTTTCTTTCTTCTTCCTTCCCCTTTCATCCCTTGCCTCCCTGTCCTCCTCCTCCTCCACCTCCTCCATCCCCTCCTCTTCCTCCTCACTCTCTACACCATTCCTTTCCACCTTCTTTCCCTTCTTCATCCCTCTCTTATTACTTCCCTTCTTCCCCTTCTCTTCACCCATCTCCAATTCCCTTTCCTCCTCACTCTCCCCACCTACAAACACCACATTCTTTCCTTTCTTCACCCGCTTATCTCTATTCCCCTTCTTCTCTTGCAACTTAACCGTCACCTCCTCCCTCACCTCCTTTTCATCCTCCTCCCTTTCGTCCTCGCGTTCCTCCTCCTTTTCCTCCTCCCTATCCTCCTCCCTCTCCTGATCACCATCCCCACCTCTCCTACTCCCCTTTCGTCCTTTCTTCATCTTTTTACTCTCACTTCCCTTCTTCTTTCTCTCTCCACCCGTCTCCTCCTCCCTCTCCTCCTCCCTCTCCTCATCAATCTCCTCATCCTTCCTCTCCACCCCTTTACCTTTCTTTCTCCCGTTTCTCTGCCTTCCCCTTTTCCCTTCCTCCCCACCGCCCACCTCTTCCCATGCCTCCTCGACCTCCTCCCCTTCCTCCTCGGTCGTCTCGCCCCTCGTTTCCAGCTTTTCACCTCCATTCTTCCCTTTCTTCTTTCTCCCCCTTTTCTCCTTTTCTCCATCCCTCCCCTCGTTCGTTTCCTCTTCCCTTTCCTCCTCACTATCTTCACCCGTCCTCTTCACCTTTTCTCCTCTCTTCACCTTTCCTCCTCTCTTCGCCTTTTTATTCCCTTTTCCCTTCTTCCCACCCACTCCACCCCTCTCCACCCATGCCTCCTCCCCTTCCTCCTCACTCTCCTCACTTCTTACCTCCACCTTTTTCCCTCCCTTCATCAATCTCAACATTCTTCCCTTCTTTTCTCCTTCTGCATCCCTCTCCCAGCCAGCCTCATCTTGTGCCTCCTCCCATTCCCCCTCACTATCCTCACTTCTTATCTCCACCTTCTTCCCTCCTTTCATCAATCTCAACCTTCTTCCCTTCTTCCCTCCCACTACACCCCTCTCCTCCTCCCATACCTCCTCATTCTCTTCATCCGTCCTCTCCACCTGCTTACCTTTCTTCATCCCTTTATTCCCTTTTCCCTTCTTTCCTCGCTCTCCACCCCTCCTCTCTTCCCTCTCCTCTTCCTTCTCTCCTCCCCCGTCCCCCTCACGCTCCTCCACCCTCTCTTCCCCTTCCTCCTCACTCCCCTCTCGCTCCTCGTCCCCTTCCCTTTCCTCCTCCGTTTCCTTCCTCTCATGCTCCTCCCTCTCCTCTACCCTCTTCTCTTCTCTCTCCTCTTCATCCTCTTCCTCGCTATCCCCACCAATGACCTTCAAAGCAGTTCTTCGACTGCTCTTCACACCCTTGCTTTCTTTTTCCTCCTCACTCTCTTCTTCATTCTCCTCCCCACTCCTCTCTTCGTTATCCTCCCCACTCCTCTCTCCGTTCGCCTCCTCAATCCCCACTTCCGTCTCCTCCCCCTCCCCACCATCCCACTCCTCACTCTCCTCTTCATTCTCCGGTTGATACTCATCCTCGCTCTCCTTCTCACTCTCTTCACTCTCCTTCTCACTCCCATCACTCTCCTTCTCACTCCCCTCACCCTCCTTCTCACTCTCCTCTTCCTCCTCCTCGTCACTATCCCCACCAAACAACTTTAACAAACTTTTCGCTCTACGTTTCCCACCCTTGCTCTTATTTTCTTCCTCTTCCCTCTCCTCCTCCTCCTCATCCCTTTCCTTCTCCCTCTCCTCCTCCCTCTCCTCCTCCCCTTCCTCCTCCCCTTCCTCCTCCCCCTCCTCCTCCCTCTCCTCCTCACTCTCCTCCTCCCCCTCCTCCTCACTATCACCACCAAACAGCTTCAAAATGTTTTTTCCTCTGCTCTTCTGCTTCTTTCCTTCCTCCACACCATCCACTTCCATCTCCTCATTCTCCACCCCTCTCTCCTCCTCACTCTCCTTCTCACTCTCCTCCTCCCTCTCCTCTTCACTCCCCTCCTCCCTCTCCTCCTCACTCCCTTCCTCACTCCCTTCCTCACTCCCTTCCTCGCTCCCCTCCTCACTCTCCTCACTATCACCACCAAAAAACTTCAAAACGTTTTTACCTCTCCTCTTCCCAACACTCCTCTTCTTCCCTCCCTTCCCCTTCCTCCTCCCCCCTTTCTCCCCCTCCCCCTCACTCCCCTCACTCCCCTCGCTCACCTCGCTTTCCTCCCCCTCTTTTCCCCCCAGCTTCACTCTTTTCTTCTTGCCACCTGCTTCGTCCTCCCCCTCCACCTCCTCCTCCTCTTCCCCCTCTTCCTCTTCCCAGTATCTTTTCTTCCTCTTCTTACCCCCCCCCTTGCCACTCCCCTCCTCTGCCTTCTTCCTGTGCCAAAGCCTGCACTTCTTCCCTGCTGCGCAATCCCCTTTAGAAGCAAACTCGGGACACTCATACGTGTGCTGCTGTGTGCACGCAAGCCCTTTCTCGCAGTATCCCCTGAGAAAAGCGGGGCACACGGGGGTGCCTGCTGGGAGCTTCACATGGCGATACACGCATGGCTTGTTGCTGCATGTGCCTGGTGGGGGAAGGGAGGGAGAAGGGGGGAGCCAATGGCGGTGTGCTTGGGTGAGCTGAGCGCACGGGGGGGTGCCTGCTGGGAGCTTCACATGGCGATACACGCATGGCTTGTTGCTGCAGGTGCCTGGTGTGGGAAAGAGGCGGGGTGGCGGGAGTGGGGTGGTGGGCTGTTACTGGGTATAAAAGCAGAGAGATCAAGTGAGCTGAGAAAATCAGGGCACACGGGGGTGGGTGCTGGGAGCTTCACATGGCAATATACACACGGCTTGTTGCTGCACAACGCGTAGGTTCAAAACAAGCCGCGTGAAACAAGAGCCAGACTAGGGACTTGCGGGTGCACGGCCAAGCTAGTGCATCACACACAAATAACCTAGCAGGGCACAACCTGACCTGACAGACTCACCCTTGGAAAAGAAGGTGCAATCGGGCATACGCTCTGGGATGATCTGCAGAGAGAGAGAATAGAAAAGGGAGGGGCGAGGAGATCGATACGGGGGGAAAGTATAGTCACTCTTCGGAAGGTGCAGTTGCGTCGGGTTTACGACGACCTGAGTGACCAGTTCGAAACAAACAGCTTCAAATTTTAAGAAAAGAGGCGGCTTTGTTTGGTTTGATTTGAGGTGATCCGGTCCGGTGATTACACACCATCCAGTATTCACACTTACCTTGTGTGTGAGCTTGCATCTAGACTCGTCACACTCCATCCCCCTTATAAACCGCACACATAACGCCACTTTGCTCGCATCGTGCAGGAAACGGCAATCCTTCTTGCTGCACTGCCCCAGCCGAGTGAAGTACTGGCACAGCTGCTGCTGCTGCTTCTGCCGCCTGTAGCGCGCATTTTGAAGGCTGTAGCGCACTCGAGCCCTGATGTGAGCGGAGGGAGAGGGGTTGGGAAAGGAAAAGAGGGGAAGGAAGGGGAGATGCGGATTGGAGAGCGGGAGCGGAGGGTGGTTGGTCAACGGAAAGGGACGAGGGCAGAGCGGGGTGGGTGGAAGGAAGGGAGAAGAGCGGGGAGGGGGGAGTGGGGGTTGCAATGTACGCTCCTCCTCCCAGCTCCCCGCTCCCCCTCCCAGCTCCCCGCTCAGCATGCGTGTGGCGCGTGGTGTGAGAACACAACCACTCTCCACCACGCCCCGTGCTGCTGCCCCACCCCGCCCCGTGCTGCTGCCCCACCCCGCCCCATGCTGCTGCCCCGCTACAAAGGCCTTTGAGTCCTGAAACAGCTGGTTGCCCTGCCTGCCCACACGCGGGTACCAGGTGCTCGTGAGAGGTGCAGTGAGAGGTGCAGTGAGAGGTGCAGTGAGAGGCACGAAGGTGTGCTCTGTTTGTGCCCTGCCTTTTGAGTCGACTCAAAGGTGACTTTTGAGTCGACTCAAAAGTCACAGGCGGGTAGCAGGTGCTTGTGAGAGGTGCAGTGGGAGGCACGAAGGTGTGCTCTGTTTGTGCCCTGCCTGCCCGCACGCGGGTAGCTGGTGGCTGTAGTAAGAGATGTTTTGAGACGTCTCAAAACATCACTTTTATCAAGTGAGAGGCGGGAAGGTGTGCTCTGTTTGTGCCCTGCCTGCCTGCACGCGGGTAGCTGGTGGCTGTAGTAAGAGGCACTCACCCAACCCAACTCACTCACCCGGCAGCCGTTCGCATGGCAGCTGTGCAGTCCCGCACCAACTGGTTGCCCTGCCTGCCCACACGCCTGTAGCTGGTGGCAGCGAGAGCAGAAGGAATGCCAAATGCCCCTCTCACACACGACTCACTCACCCAGCAGCGGTGCGCATGGCCGCCTTGGAGTCCCGCACCAACTGGTTGCCCTGCCTGCCCACACGCCTGTAGCTGGTGGCAGCGAGAGCAGAAGGAATGCCAAATGCCCCTCTCACACACGACTCACTCACCCAGCAGCGGTGCGCATGGCCGCCTTGGAGTCCCGCACCAACTGGTTGCCCTGCCTGCCTGCCCACACGCCGGTAACTCCTGGCAGCAAGAGCACAAGAACAATGCCCCCTGATAGACAGATTTGGGATCAAAAGGGCCCTCTCTCGCACCCGACTCACCCAGCAGCGGTGCGCATGGCCGTCTTTGAGTCCCGCACCAACTGGTTGCCCTGCCTGCCCACACGCCTGTAGTTCGTGGCTGGAGGCTGGTGGCAGCAGCTGGTGCAGTGTAGCAGTGAGAGGCACGGGCAAGTGTGGTTCGTGATTCGACATAACAGTCCATTCTCACACAACTGACCCGGCAGCAGTGCGCATGGCAGCCTTGGAGTCCCGCACCAGCTGGTTGCCCTGCCTGCCAGCACGCCGATAGCTCGTGGCAGTGAGAGCAGCAGTGAGCGGCACTGGCAGGTGTGCGTGTGCGTGTGCCTTGCCACGTGGCGACTTGTCCTTGGCTGAACCGCCTGCTGGGAAGGGGAAAGCAAAATAGCACAGCTGATCAAGAATATCCGCGCACAGCACTATATAAGGAAAGTAGGCATTGTGAAACGCATTGCATATCTTCCCTCTCCTCTACTCACTGTTCAAGCGCACAAGCGAATGGTTCCTGAGACGTCTCCCCCCGTCCCCAGCCCTCCCCCTCCTACTCACTGCTCAGGCGCACGAGCGAACAGCCCTTGAGGCATTGCATGACTGTTTGCCCCAACCACCCTCAACTCAAACTCCCTAGCTCCCAAGTTGACTTTTGAGTCGACTCAAAAGTCAACTGTTTGCCCCAACCACCCTGAACTCAAACTCCCTAGCTCCCAAGTTGACTTTTGAGTCGAATCAAAAGTCAACTGTTTGCCCCAACCACCCTGAACTCAAACTCCCTAGCTCCCAAGTTGACTTTTGAGTCGACTCAAAAGTCAACTGTTTGCCCCAACCACCCTGAACTCAAACTCCCTAGCTCCCAAGTTGACTTTTGAGTCGACTCAAAAGTCAACTGTTTGCCCCAACCACCCTGAACTCAAACTCCCTAGCTCCCAAGTTGACTTTTGAGTCAACTCAAAAGTCAACTGTTTGCCCCAACCACCCTGAACTCAAACTCCCTAGCTCCCAAGTTGACTTTTGAGTCGACTCAAAAGTCAACTGTTTGCCCCAACCACCCTGAACTCAAACTCCCTAGCTCCCAAGTTGACTTTTGAGTCGACTCAAAAGTCAACTGTTTGCCCCAACCACCCTCAACTCAAACTCCCTAGCTCCCAAGTTGACTTTTGAGTCAACTCAAAAGTCAACTGTTTGCCCCAACCACCCTGAACTCAAACTCCCTAGCTCCCAAGTTGACTTTTGAGTCGACTCAAAAGTCAACTGTTTGCCCCAACCACCCTGAACTCAAACTCCCTAGCTCCCAAGTTGACTTTTGAGTCGACTCAAAAGTCAACTGTTTGCCCCAACCACCCTCAACTCAAACTCCCTAGCTCCCAAGTTGACTTTTGAGTCGACTCAAAAGTCAACTGTTTGCCCCAACCACCCTGAACTCAAACTCCCTAGCTCCCAAGTTGACTTTTGAGTCGACTCAAAAGTCAACTGTTTGCCCCAACCACCCTGAACTCAAACTCCCTAGCTCCCAAGTTGACTTTTGAGTCGACTCAAAAGTCAACTGTTTGTCCCAACCACCCTGAACTCAAACTCCCTAGCTCCCAAGTTGACTTTTGAGTCGACTCAAAAGTCAACTGTTTGCCCCAACCACCCTGAACTCAAACTCCCTAGCTCCCAAGTTGACTTTTGAGTCGACTCAAAAGTCAACTGTTTGTCCCAACCACCCTGAACTCAAACTCCCTAGCTCCCAAGTTGACTTTTGAGTCGACTCAAAAGTCAACTGTTTGCCCCAACCACCCTGAACTCAAACTCCCTAGCTCCCAAGTTGACTTTTGAGTCGACTCAAAAGTCAACTGTTTGCCCCAACCACCCTCAACTCAAACTCCCTAGCTCCCAAGTTGACTTTTGAGTCGACTCAAAAGTCAACTGTTTGCCCCAACCACCCTGAACTCAAACTCCCTAGCTCCCAAGTTGACTTTTGAGTCGACTCAAAAGTCAACTGTTTGCCCCAACCACCCTGAACTCAAACTCCCTAGCTCCCAAGTTGACTTTTGAGTCGACTCAAAAGTCAACTGTTTGTCCCAACCACCCTGAACTCAAACTCCCTAGCTCCCAAGTTGACTTTTGAGTCGACTCAAAAGTCAACTGTTTGCCCCAACCACCCTGAACTCAAACTCCCTAGCTCCCAAGTTGACTTTTGAGTCGACTCAAAAGTCAACTGTTTGCCCCAACCACCCTGAACTCAAACTCCCTAGCTCCCAAGTTGACTTTTGAGTCGAATCAAAAGTCAACTGTTTGCCCCAACCACCCTGAACTCAAACTCCCTAGCTCCCAAGTTGACTTTTGAGTCGACTCAAAAGTCAACTGTTTGCCCCAACCACCCTGAACTCAAACTCCCTAGCTCCCAAGTTGACTTTTGAGTCGACTCAAAAGTCAACTGTTTGCCCCAACCACCCTGAACTCAAACTCCCTAGCTCCCAAGTTGACTTTTGAGTCAACTCAAAAGTCAACTGTTTGCCCCAACCACCCTGAACTCAAACTCCCTAGCTCCCAAGTTGACTTTTGAGTCGACTCAAAAGTCAACTGTTTGCCCCAACCACCCTGAACTCAAACTCCCTAGCTCCCAAGTTGACTTTTGAGTCGACTCAAAAGTCAACTGTTTGCCCCAACCACCCTCAACTCAAACTCCCTAGCTCCCAAGTTGACTTTTGAGTCAACTCAAAAGTCAACTGTTTGCCCCAACCACCCTGAACTCAAACTCCCTAGCTCCCAAGTTGACTTTTGAGTCGACTCAAAAGTCAACTGTTTGCCCCAACCACCCTGAACTCAAACTCCCTAGCTCCCAAGTTGACTTTTGAGTCGACTCAAAAGTCAACTGTTTGCCCCAACCACCCTCAACTCAAACTCCCTAGCTCCCAAGTTGACTTTTGAGTCGACTCAAAAGTCAACTGTTTGCCCCAACCACCCTGAACTCAAACTCCCTAGCTCCCAAGTTGACTTTTGAGTCGACTCAAAAGTCAACTGTTTGCCCCAACCACCCTGAACTCAAACTCCCTAGCTCCCAAGTTGACTTTTGAGTCGACTCAAAAGTCAACTGTTTGTCCCAACCACCCTGAACTCAAACTCCCTAGCTCCCAAGTTGACTTTTGAGTCGACTCAAAAGTCAACTGTTTGCCCCAACCACCCTGAACTCAAACTCCCTAGCTCCCAAGTTGACTTTTGAGTCGACTCAAAAGTCAACTGTTTGTCCCAACCACCCTGAACTCAAACTCCCTAGCTCCCAAGTTGACTTTTGAGTCGACTCAAAAGTCAACTGTTTGCCCCAACCACCCTGAACTCAAACTCCCTAGCTCCCAAGTTGACTTTTGAGTCGACTCAAAAGTCAACTGTTTGCCCCAACCACCCTCAACTCAAACTCCCTAGCTCCCAAGTTGACTTTTGAGTCGACTCAAAAGTCAACTGTTTGCCCCAACCACCCTGAACTCAAACTCCCTAGCTCCCAAGTTGACTTTTGAGTCGACTCAAAAGTCAACTGTTTGCCCCAACCACCCTGAACTCAAACTCCCTAGCTCCCAAGTTGACTTTTGAGTCGACTCAAAAGTCAACTGTTTGTCCCAACCACCCTGAACTCAAACTCCTTAGCTCCCAAGTTGACTTTTGAGTCGACTCAAAAGTCAACTGTTTGCCCCAACCACCCTGAACTCAAACTCCCTAGCTCCCAAGTTGACTTATGAGTCGACTCAAAAGTCAACTGTTTGTCCCAACCACCCTGAACTCAAACTCCCTAGCTCCCAAGTTGACTTTTGAGTCGACTCAAAAGTCAACTGTTTGTCCCAACCACCCTGAACTCAAACTCCCTAGCTCCCAAGTTGACTTTTGAGTCGTGTTTGTCCCAACCACCCTGAACTCAAACTCCCTAGCTCCCAAGTTGACTTTTGAGTCGACTCAAAAGTCAACTGTTTGTCCCAACCACCCTGAACTCAAACTCCCTAGCTCCCAAGTTGACTTTTGAGTCGACTCAAAAGTCAACTGTTTGCCCCAACCACCCTGAACTCAAACTCCCTAGCTCCCAAGTTGACTTTTGAGTCGACTCAAAAGTCAACTGTTTGCCCCAACCACCCTGAACTCAAACTCCCTAGCTCCCTCCCAACGCCTCGAGCACCCCCTCAACCCAGCAGCACCCACGAGCATCCCCCCTTTACTCACTGCTCAGGCGCACGAGCGAGCGGCCCTTGGCTGCCAGTCGATATACTGAGGACCCCTGAAACACCGTGGCTGCAGGGGTGGAGAGGTGTGAGGAGGGGTGGAGAGGAATGAGGAGGGGTCAGAGTAGAATATTGAAACCATAAAACTGAGGTGCGGAACCGATTCCTTCTACACCTGTGCAGCCACAATCCTTCCCCCACACCCACTCCCAACAGATGCTCCCAACCCTCTCCTTTTTCCTTTCCCCTTACACACTCACTCTGCTGCCGCCTTGCTGCCAGAATAGCAGCACCGGCTTTTTTCGCCGCCGCCCGGGAAGCCATCCGGGCAGCCTTAACTTTTGCGTTCTCTGCCCGGATGCACTCTTTTTCTGCCCGCCTCTTAGCCCGCTGCTCCGCCTGGCTCCTTGCAATCGCCTTCTTTGCTTTCTCCACTGCCTCTTTGCGCTGTCGATGCTTCCTGGAAGCTTCCGCCGCTGCCTTGGTGGCCTCCTGAAGGATCCAAAGGAGAGGAAAACGCAACAGTAGAGTGGAAAGAAAGAAAGAAAAAACTAAAGAAAGAAAAGAAAGAAAAAAACTCAAGAAAGAAAGAAAGAAAAAAACTAAAGAAAGAAAGAAAGAAAGAACTAAAGAAAGAAAGAAAGAAAAAACTAAAGAAAGAAAGAAAGAAAGAAAGAAAGAAAGGAAAAACTAAAGAAAGAAAGAAAGAAAGAAAAAAAAGACAACTAGAAAGAAGGAAATCAGGCATCCTTGCTATTCCCATCTGTGATTTCGTTCCACTGTCGCTGCTTCCTGGAAGATTCTGCTGCTGCCTCCTCAGGTAGAGAAGATAAAATGTGGGAGAACGAAAGTGTGAGAGGAAGGAAAGGAGAAGGAGAGGAGAGGAGGGGAGAGGAGAGGATAAGTGAGGAAAGGAGAAGAGAGGAGTAGAGAGAGGAGAGGAGAGGAGTGAAGGGGAGAGGAGACGAGAGGAGAGGAGAGAGGAGAGGAGAGGAGAGGAAAGGAGAAGAGAGGAGTAGAGAGAGGAGAGGAAAGGAGAGGGAGGAAAGAAGAGAGGAAAGGACAAGAGAGAAAAGAGGAGAGGAGAGGAATTCCTCTTCTCTCTCTCCTCTCTCTCGCTTCTTCTCCTTTCTCTTGCTTCCTCTCCCCTCTCCCGCTTCCTCTCCCCTCTCCCACTTCCTCTCCCCTCTCCCGCTTCCTCTCCCCTCTCCCGCTTCCTCTCCCCTCTCCCGCTTCCTCTCCCCTCTCTCGCTTCCTCCCCCCTCTCTCGCTTCCTCTCCATTCTCTCGCTTCCTCTCCTCTCTCTCTCGCTTCCTCTCCTCTCTCACTTCCTCTCACCACTCTCACTTCCTCTTGCCTCACTCTCTCCTCTCACCTCTCACTCTCTCCTCTCACCTCTC